CCCTAAAGAAATCCTCTCTCCAATAACTTTCCAGCTCATAACACATGAAGAGTAAAATTCCTAGAAGTAATATTCAGGCAAATGAAAGTGGACTTGAAGTCAGACCATAGAAAACCAGCTGTGCACTCTGTGGCAACTTCAGTCAGTAAAGCCACAGGGCAGTTGGAAGCGCAGCTCTCTAGAGTGCTCTTTGTTCATTTATTCGTTCGTTCAACAAAAATATATTGAGATCCTACAGGCACTGTTCTGAGTGCTGCTGCAAATATAGTAGAGGGCAAAACAGGCAAAGTCCTTGAGGTCTTGCAGAGGTTATATCTATTAGGGGACACTGGCAGACTAAAAATAAATAAGCAGGTGATGGGGCTGGGGACTACTTTCAGTGATGTCTCACAGCACCCAAATGGCTTCCTATGAGTAGAGGACTTGCATTTCTAGAAGTCAGAGCAAAGATTGGCTGAGAGAGTTCAGAAAATAGCCTGTTGAGGCTCCTGAGCCTACTGCAAGGCTTATTCTTGGGACTGGCACACTGTATGACCTGACTGGCAGGAGTGGCATTCTTTGTGGATTTGTTTTGTTTTATATTTTCTCTTTTTAAAGATTTGTCAAACATACCTTTCTTGGGGAAAATGGTGCTGCTCACATTTTATGTGAGTGGAAACAGCAGGAAATAGAGATTTTACTTCTACAAAATAGATCATTCTCCCCTCAACTAACATATCTCCTCTCAAGCTAGGTGGATTGTCCTTACTGACCCATCCCAGAGGACATACCCAGTACCAAACCACACCTCCAAATATGGGTCCTGTCCTGGGCAGGGATTTCTCTCAACCCCACAGGCCCCCTCCCATGTGGCCAATTTAGAGTTGTTCAAGGACACCGCTGTTTTCTCAGCTGAGCTAGAATCACAAGCTTTGAGTCTGCAGGTGAAGTAAGTGGCAGGTTCAGATTTCTGTGATGTGGTCAGCTTAGCATGGGTTTGGAATGCTATGTTGTCCCTTCCAGATTCTCCCTAGTTTTACTCTCTTTTCTTGCTACCTCACCCATCGTCTTTCTGTTTATCACCAATCAGACCAAAGCTGAGCCCTTTCTTTCTTCCATCCTCTCTCCCTCTCCTCCTTCATCCCTGTCCCTCTCCCCCTTACGTCTTTTCTCTGGTCTCCAGGTCCCAAGTTGGAATTGTGTCTTCACTGCCTCCTGAATTCTAAGGGCTCTGCCCATTGCAATCCTGTACTGACTTTTCTATGGTTTTGGATACTCAGCATCTTTCTCAGTCTTATGAGTGCAGTCCACTTCTCTCTCAGCTCCTTTTGGAATCTCCCATGTCTCTCTTTGCTTTGTTTTTCAGAGAACTCAGCCCTTTAGCCCTCCATTTTTACTTACTACATGCTAGGTTCTAGACTACAAGGTGGAAATGCAGCAACCCAGGCCTTCCTCCAAGAGCCCTGGTATAGGGGAAAGGACTGGCCTGAAACCAAGCCAGAGGCCTACAGAGGGAAGTGTCAAGTGTCTGTGAGAACATGACCCATTCTGGCTGGGGGAGGCTCCGGGTTCTGCAGTAAGAGAATAGGGAAAGGAGTATTCTGGGCAGAGGGAACAGCATACATAAAGTTGAGAAGGCGTCAGAGAACATAGTGTGAATGTGCATGGTGGCTCACATCTATAATCCCAGCACTTTGGGAGGCAAGGCAGAAAAATGGCTTGAGGCCAGGAGTTTAAGACCAGCTTGAGTTAGAATGATATGCCATCTCTACAAAGAATAGAAAAATTAGCTGGGCGTGATGGCCCATGCCTATAGTCCTAGCTACTAAGGAGGTAAAGCAGGAGGACTGCAATCCACTGATTGTAAAGGAACTTATGTGCAATGCTAAAAAGAGTTTGGACTTGATCTCATAGGTTACAGGGAGTTTTTAAGATGGGGAGTGATTTGGACTCACTCATGTGTTTGAAAGATCCCTGTGTGGAGAGGGCCTGGAGACCAGAAGAGCAGGACTGGGTAAGGGAAAGGAGAGAAAATGGCAAGGCAGGAGGACAGAGTCACAGGATTTGCTGGCTGTCTGGGTGGAGATTTGCTGGTCTGAATAACAGTCAAGTGACAGTCTCTGCTTTAGACCCTTGAGTGTTTTCTCTTACCCAGGGATAAGTCAGAACTCCTCAGCTAGCTTACAGGGCTCTCTGCCTCTTGTTTATTGCTCTAGATTCATCTCCCTTACTCCCTCAACTTCCACACACCTTAAACAAGGCCACATTTAAGGCACAGAGGCAGGTGGTTCAGTATACATCTCTACCCACCCCTGCCCTGGCCTGTCCTTCCTGGGCACAGTCACCATTTTCCTTTCTCTGTCCCACTTCTCAGCACAAATACTGCCAGGTTATTGTCACTCATCTTAACTCAATATGCCTACCTGTCCACTAATACACAATCTGTTCCAGCTTTTCAGTCATCTTCCTGGTCCCTCATTTCTATTCCTCTTTGCCCACGGCCAGCTACTCTCTCATACAGAAACCCATCTCTCCTCAATTTCAGGATAGTTTACAGCTTGGCATGGAAGCTAAAGCTTTGTGCAGCCCCAAGCAAAGAGGGAGAAGAAAGCTAGGATTCCCTTCTAATGCTGTGGAAAGAAATCCCAGGGTTCCTCGAGGTCCAGTAACTTCATAACCAATGTTGGTTCTTATCTTAGTACATGTAAATTGTTGGCTTTCATGCCTTTCATTACCCTCAATCTCAGAGCTCCAGGCATGGTGTCTGACTGTGGCGCTGGCAATGCACAATGAGTATTTCTCAAATGAATGAATGCCAGAGTCTCTTCCAGTGTTCCACACATGCTCTGTCTCCCCCATTGCTCAGTACCCCAGGAAAGCACTCCCTGTGACCCTATTATTGCTCAGGCCTCCCACAAGCCCTCCAGCAAAGTGGAGAAGATTCTCCTGCTCTGGTTCACCCCATTTTTGCAGAACTTGGGGTTATGTGGGTGCAATTTATACCTATGGCCACCAGAGGGCTGTTCTCAACCCTCAGGATCCCAAGAGCAACTTCACAACTTCATCTGTAGCTAGGGTTTCCAAGCAGGTTCTTTTGTTAGTTACATACTAAACCTGGGGCATTCTGTCCATTAGGAGAATCTGTCACATGGTGCCTTTAAAGTACCACTTACTCTGCTGCCTCCAAAAATTTATGGGGAAAATACTACGTATTTTCTTCTCGACTAGAGACAGAAAAAAATGGGCTTGATGCTATGATAATCTGCCCCCTACAGGATTTTTTAGGGAGAACAGGTCCCTTGGTGAGGGCAGTGTGAAGATGCCCTCTCACTCTCTCTGCCCAGGGCTTCAGCCCTACCTAGATGTGGTGCTCAACTCCAGACTCAGTCCACCCTGGTCACCAGCTCCTTCAAGCTGAGAAGCTATGGACTTGGAAGACTGCCTGGGCAGTCCAAGGCACAAAGCCTGTGACCTCAGGTGCTTCACCAGTAAAATACTTACCACATCTGTCACAGAGTTGTGTCAGGGTAAATGAGCAAATATTTGTGAAAATGCTTTGAAAAATGTGAAACCCTGTGCCAATATAAGACACTTTTATTATACCTCCATCTTATTACTTAGATCACTTCCCTAGATTAGGATGAACACAAACAATGAGCAGCCAGGCAAGGTGGCTCACGACTGTAATCCTAGCACTCTGGGAGGCCAAGGCAAGAGGATCGCTTGAGCTCAGGAGTTCGAGTTTAGACCAGCCTGAGCAAGAGTGAGACCCCTATCTCTACTAAAAATAGAAAAAATAAGCTGGGTATGGTGGCGCATGCCTGTAGTCCCAGCTACTTGGAAGGCTAAGGCAGGAGGATCATTTGAGCCCAGGAGTTTGAGGTTGCTGTGAGCTAGGCTGATGCCATGGCACTCTAGCCTGGGCAACACAGTGAGACTCTGTCTGAAAAAAAAAGAAAAAGAAAAAGAAGGCCAGGTGCTGTGGCTCACGCCTGTAATCCTAACACTCTGGGAGGTCGAGGCGGGCGGTGGATTGCTCAAGGTCAAGAGTTCAAAACCAGCCTGAGCAAGAGGGAGACCCTGTCTCCACTAAAAATACAAAGAAATTAATTGGCCAACTGAAAATACATAGAAAAAAAATTAGCTGAGCATGGTGGCACATGCCTGTAGTCCCAGCTACTGGGGAGCCTGAGGCAGAAGGATTGCTCAAGCCCAGGAGTTTGAGGCTGCTGTGAGGTAAGCTGACGCCATGGCACTCTAGCCTGGGCAACAGAATGAGACTCTGTCTCAAAATAAAAAATAAAAAAAAAAAGAAAGAAAAGAAAAGAAAATGAGCAAATTACAATAATTATAACAAGTCAAAAAGTGCTTTTGAGCTCTTGCAGGAAAATGACAGCAGAAAATATCAAGTTTTTCTGGCTTTGTTGCCCAGGCTAGAGTGAGTGCTGTGGTGTCAGCCTAGCTCACAGCAACCTCAAACTCCTGGGCTCAGGCAATCCTCCTGCCTCAGCCTCCCAAGTAGCTGGGACTACAGGCATGCGCCACCATGCCTGGCTAATTTTTTCTATATATATTAGTTGGCCAATTAATTTCTTTCTATTTTTTATATAGTAGAGACGGGATCTCGCTCTTGCTCAGGCTGGTTCGAACTCCTGACTTCAAGCAATCCCGCCCGCCTCGGCCTCCCAGAGTGCTAGGATTACAGGCGTGAGCCACCGCACCCGGCCTGAAGTTTTTAATTATTAAGTATAAATTACTCTTTAGATTGTGCAAGATAAATTACTATTACTCAACATAAAATTATAACACAAAAATTGTTTCAAAAATCAGAAGAGAAATAGCCATGGAGATTTTAAATATCAGCATGTTATCTTATTACATTTTTGTATAATTGCCTTGATATATTTTGAAAAACATTATCAAAGTAAGTCACATACTATTTTTTTTGGCATTCAAGATGCCAATTGGTAGGTAATTACTTGGTTTAGATTTCCAAGGCAGTAATCTTATGTATCTAACAGACTCTAGATAATCTGAAGGAAGGGAAACACCATCTACGTGTGCGTCCTGCGGACATCCCTGTTGCTGAGAGAGCATCTTTGAACTACTGGCGAACATGGAAGTGTATCAGCAAACCCTCGGAATTTCCGATAAAAAGCCCAGCCTTTACAGGTATAACCAGGACAGGCTGTCCCTCTGTTAAGCCCACACCAGCTTCCCCTCTCCTCACTGTAACAGAATTGGCTTCCCCAGAAAGTGCCCTAATTTCTAAGCAAGTTCTGATGACTTCTCAGTCTCTCTGTCATCTCCTTTGATCACCTTGCCATGTGGCCTCTCTATGGGGGCTTGCCCACTGGAACTATAATAACGTCTTCCCTGACATTCATTCCTCTGCATACTGGTTTCACTTGGGCAAGGCTAGGATGCATTCTACTCACTCTTAAAAGTCAGAGAACTCCACCATCTGTTCAAGTTACCTCCAACCACCACACAAAGAATGTCCCCAAATGATCATTGTCTGATGAATGCCTTGCAGCATAGGTTGGCCTATTTCTAGATGAGAGAACAAGGCATTCATGATTATTGATGGGTTTTGAGCTTCCATAAGTGACAAAAGCATCAGTTTCATCTGTGGGTCACAGTGACTGGTTTGATTAATTAGAAAGAACCAAATGGGTAAATGAATTTATTGATTTTGGATACATAAGCCAAAATGTCACATGTCCCACTACTCTTCACTATCTGTAAAAAAAAAAGATAGATTTCTATGCCTCAGTCCCCACCATACTCTTTCCAAACATTAGTACTACATCTGGAAATAGAGAGAAAGGAAGGAGATGCCTAGTAGGCACTGTCTCCTAGATGGGCTCTCCAGCTTCCTCTGGGGGCCCTAGGTCAGAGAGAGCCCTGCTGGACTCAGAGCCCTGGCCTCTGGGAGGTGATGACACCCTCTGCATTTCTCCTTCAGGCCTACATGATAAGGCACCATTGGGGCTCATGGACACGCCCCTGTTAGACACAGAAGAGGAAGTGCACTACTGTTTCCTGCCCCTGGACCTGGTGGCCAGGTATCCAAGCCTAGTGACTGAAGACAACCTGCTGTGGCTGGCTGAGACTGTGGCCCTGGTTGAGTGCGAATGCAGCGAGTTCCGCTTCATTGGTGATTGCTCTGCCCAGGGGTGGGGAGTTTGGGGGAAGATAGGGCCCATCCACCTCTCCCACCCAACACCCCACAAAGGCCCAGGTTGGTGCTCAGGGCCTCAGGAGCTTCCCTGGGCAGAGGTGGTGGAAGAATGATAGAGCCTTCTAGGAGGGAAGCAGATTCCAGCATTAGATGCCCACTAGGCTGAGAGCTGTTTTATTCCCTATTTATTTTGGGATAGCCTAGCTGTAAAGGGGCACTGGAAACTACTGAAGTGGTGTGTATGTTGGTATGAAGGGCACAGTGCTGAGCTGGACTCCAAAGTCAGCTTCTCTTCTTACTCTGCTCTTATGTACCCAACTGGGCTCCAGGCCTCAGTTCTTTTCACCATAAAATTAGGAAATAGGATTGTTTCAAAGAATGGTCCTACCTGCTGTTACTTTCACTAAACTCAGAGTAAAAGGGAAGGAGGGTGGATGGTGATAGGTTCCCCAGAATCACTGTAGAGTTGTCTGCTTGAGTTAGTGATCTAGGGACGGATGAGATCGAGATCTTCCACCCTGTATGGAAGAGAGCCTCCTTCTCCCCACTGCTCCAGGAGGAGCTCTGCTGGGGATGTGAACCAAATGACCTCTTTGGCCCCAAGATGCTGGGGCTGCCTACATGCACAGGGCAGTAAACACCCAAGCATACCCAAGTGCATGAGGGGCCCAAATGCCTGGCACCTAGCCATTCATATTCATAGCCAATTAGAAAGTTGTCTGTGATGTGCTTCTGAATCTCCAAGTTGATTCACACAGGATATTAGCGTTGGCTCCATCTCTGCCTCCCATACTGCAACCCAGGCAGGGACAAACTGCAAGTGCACCTGCCAGTCCAGGCTCAGCCGGGCCCCTCCTCTCTAAGCAGCAAGACAACTCCCTCTGTTGGAATGACCTGCTCTTGGGTCAAGACGCACAGGGTAAGTCTCAGGGCCAGTGTGCTCATCAGGAGGGCCTGGCTTGGAAGCCCCAGGCCAGGCTGCGGGAGGCCATACCCACGGACTCAGACACAGGAAAACGAAGTTTGGGGTCTTTCACCTTGAAAACCACAGACTCAAAGCTAATCTAACTAGGTATGTTTAGAAATTGTTTTAGAACAAGGAGAGCCTAGGATAAGTTACAGCACCAAGAACCTGCCAAAACCTGGACCTACAGTTAAATCAGAAATAACCTCATTAACTTATTTTGTTTCCCTTTGTTTTTCAAGTGAATTTTCTCCGCTCACAGAAGATTTTACTACCAGATAATTTCTCCAACATTGATGTATTAGAAGCAGAAGTGGAAATTCTGGAAATCCCTGAGCTCACTGAAGCTGTAAGGTTGTACCGGATGAATATGGGTAGGTCACCAGGAAAACTTGGCTTCCCCTGAAGGTCCAGGCTTGACCTAGAAAACCAAAAACAAACATCTTCCCTCCCACAACCACTGTGAGCTTTGAGTGGTAGTGAAAGAAGCAGGTGTTCTGGCTGACTTACACTCTGAGAAGAGGAATTTCAGCCTGAAACCCCATGTGCCCTGTCTGCTTAGCCTCCCCATTAAGGATGGGTAGCTGGCAGCCAGCCAGGGCTGTAGGGAGCCCAGTCCAGCCTGGAGCAAGAGGAGCCCAGCCAGGGTGGGGAACCAGGCCGGAATGTTCTGGGGAGGGAGGCTGGACATGATGACAGGTTTCTCAAGGGCAGGGGTGGTCTGCCCTGATTGTGGAAGTGGTGAGCAACTGGGGACTTGCAGCCCTACCTGCCACTCCCAGCCTTTCTCTTCCAGGCACAGCTGGAGGGTGTGGGAAATGCTCAGTGCTTCAGTTATCTCATTCATCCCCAAATTCCCTTGTCCCCTCACCTTGCAACCCCTGGCTGCCATGTCTATGTCTGCCTGTTCCTGACACTGCTAACCCCTGTCCAGTCCAGGCTGTGTGCTCCCAGCCATGCCCCATTCTAGCTTGCTCCCTCCCTCACAGCTTTCTTCACAGCCTTTTGTCATCCCATTTTCCAATGCCTGCACATCTAAGGAAGCTATGACATATGGCAGGGAGCTAGCTACCTAAGAGTGGCCTCAGCTGGCATCCCAAAGATGTATAGATATGTCCTGCTCATGTTTGACCTGGGCATTACCAGACACTTATCCCACAGGAATCAGGCCTTTTCTTATCTTCAGGGTCCTGCTTTCCCAGCCTCCTTCCAGGCAAATGGAGCCCTGTCCTAATTGGAGGAAGTGACATCCTGCAGCAGATCTCAAGAGCCTGTCTCAGGGCCTTGCAACCCACTTGAGGGGGTGTGAGTTCTGCCCTCTCCCCCAAGAGTTTCTGTTTCTCTGAGAATATGGATCAATGTGAAGTGTGTTTGTAGTTGGGCTCTGGAAGCCAGGCAGCACTTCTCAAACACAGAGCATGGCCTTAGCCTTTTATAAAGCATCCTAACTAAGGGAAGACATCTGGTAGCCTTGGGGATGGACAGAGCAGGCTTTCAAATCCCTCAAATGCCCCTGCCTAGTTTTGAAGTTTATGGCAAGGTACTTAATTAACCTGTCACGGCACAGTTTCTTCAATGTGAAACGATGGTAGCACTCTTCCTCTTGTAGGGTTGCTCTGAGATCCATGAAAATCCCCCACCAGTATGCCCGCTGGCCCATTGCTGCCCCTGGAGCAGGGTCCTGTAGGCTGTGACAACTGCATTATGTGGACTATACCCTGTGTCCACTGCAGGGGAACAAAGTACCCCCCATGAGCCAGAAACCCAAATACTCAACCTAAAAGTAACACACCATAGTATGTCTTTGGGGGAAATTCTGCCCAGGAGGGCCAGCAATGGGGCTGGGAACCTGGGAAGCCTATAAAGCTCACTGGGTTCTGTGCTATGGTTGTGGATCTTTACCCTTGGATAATTAGAGTAGAGATTGGAACTAATAGAGATTCCTGCAGAGGCTGGGGCCAGATAGCTGCTATACTGAAATTTATGAAATTCAGATATTAGTGATATAGCAAATGAATACCCCCCTCCCACTTCACCTCTCAACAAATAGTTTAACCTGCAAATCTCTCTAGGTATACAAAAGATTATACTGATTTTGAAAAGATCCAGATTTGGACTGTGCAAGGGAATAACCTTCCCCTAAGCCACTTAAGTACTAATGGAGGCAGCAGTAGGAATTGAGACCCAAAGCCTCTGATACAGCTATCACTATGGGGGGGGGGGGTCTAGGAGTCACCCCTTTCTCCCTGCACAGGTGGCTGTTCCAGGACCTCCTGTCCTCCCCTGAGTCCTGGGAAGGGGAGCCGCACAGCCAGCCTGGAGTCTGTGAAGCCGCTCTACATGATGGCCCTGGGTCTGCTGGTCAAGTACCCAGACTCTGCGCTGGGACAGCTCCACATCGAGAGCACACTGGATGGAAGTCGACTGTATATCACAGGGAATGGGGTCCTCTTTCAGCACGTCAAGTAAGGCCCTGCTTAGGGAATAGCTCAGTCCCATCAGGGTAAGATTTGCCTTTCTCTTGGAACAATCTAGAGCCTTTTCCACTAGCAAAAGGGGAAGAGTGTCATTGAGGCTAACTCATCATTTTAGCTACTCCTACCACCACGAGCATCACCACCAGGGCAAGGCCTCAGAGGAGAGGGCTAGTGCCAAGGTATAAAGGTCACCAAGGTTAAAAGGCTTCAGACTGTTTTGTATTTCTGTTCTCTGCAATCCATTTCCCTGGTTCTAGCCTTGTGCTAGGTCTGAGGTGACCAGGCCATAATCAGATCCTCAGGGTGATAGGCACCTTCCCCCATGCAGACCCCTTTAAAAAGTTCCCCACCCACCCTTGGGAGGCTTACTGGACACACAGAGAGGCCAGAGCCAGAGGTGAGCCCGCTTAGAAGCAAGGCAGGGCAGGCTTCCCAGGAGAGGTGATAACCTGGCCATCACCTTGAGGGATGAGCTCAGAATGTCCTCACTAGTATAGGGGCATGAATTCCCATCCTGTTTTATAGAAGGTTAAACTGAGGTGCAGAACAGTGGAGCAATCTCTTAGAGTTACAAAATACATTGGTACCAAAGCTAAAGGTAGATGTGGGTTTTCCTGAGCCCCTGGGGAGAGGGTCAGCTGACCCTGAACACTATCTTACCCCACTATTGTTTTGGGCCCTTTTGGCTTGCAAAATCCATTTCTCCCAGAGATTTTCATCCTGATATCACAGAGGGCAAAGACAAGTGCCTTTGGAGGAAGGAATTGGGAGGGGGTTGATGTCTAGACCTCAGCACACAGGGTATTAGTAATCTCTCAAGACAATGGCAGGATGCCACACAGTGACTTAGTTGTCTTAGGCAGATGCTTCTCGGGGTAGAAAGGGAGTGGCTGGGCCCTAGCCTGGCTTCTGGAACCTGAAAAGGGCCTGGAGACTTGGAATTAGTCAATTTAGAGGGCTTTGCTGACATAGGTCAAGCTGAGCTCCAAAAAGGTGAGCCTATGTCCTGGCTTACTTTCCTTCAAGATAACACCAGCTTTCTGGTTAAATCAAGGAAATGATGTTAGCAGTTTGAGCCAGTGGTGTGGCTAGACATGATAGGCATGGAAAGTTTATTGGCTGGACCATCTTGGGGTACAGTGCTGAGGTTCTTCATGACAGGCCTTTCCTCTGGGCAGGAACTGGCTGGGCACTTGCCGACTGCCCCTGACTGAGACCATTTCTGAGGTGTACGAGCTCTGTGCCTTCCTGGACAAGAGGGACATCACCTATGAGCCAATGAAAGTGGCTCTGAAGACTCATCTGGAGCCAAGGATGTTGGCACCCATGGATGTGCTCAGTAAATGAAGAAGCTTTTGGGTTTGAATTTAGCATCAGGGGAGGGGAGGGGGGATTGGAGAGAAAAGACAAGGTGGGCCGGGACCAGGAACTGTAGGTGGAAGAGGAGAAAGCCAGACCAACATTTGTGGGGTTTGTGTTAGGTGCCCCCTCCTCACCTCCAAGCCCATGATTAACCTCGAGCAGTACAGATAGGGCTGCTACCCAGTGGGGACTGCACAGGTCCCCAAGGGCAGCCCTGCTCTGGCCCTGGGAGCTGACATGTGGTGCTCATTTGGTTCTCACAGCCATCCAGGTAGGAATGGTCCTGGGTCCATTTAACAGATGAAGCAGAAACTCAGGGTAGAAACTTGCTCAAGTCATACAGTGGTCAGGCTGAGGTTTGAATCTGAATCCAAAGCCAATGTTGTTTTCACCAGTTACCTATAACCCCTTATTAACAAAAACTTTTGTTAATAAGTTAACAAAGTTAACTTATTAACTTTAAAGTATAAGCTGTATAGTATATACGTATAGTATAGTATATAGTATATATAGTGAAGCAAGGAAATGGTATGATATATGGGTTAAAGTATAAGCTGTATTATTATCATTCAGCAACATTCAACACTTATTGAGTACCTACCATACACCAGGACAGGGGTAGACACTGGAGGTCCAGAAGTGAGCAACACAGACTCAGTCCCTGCCTTCCTGGAGTTCACTAATTCTATACTTCTTATCTCTTGGTTATATAATCTAGTTATATACCCTTTACTCATTACAAAGTTCATTTGAAACTAATTCCAAACATCAGAACAAGGCCTAAATGTAGTCACCCCTCAGAAAAGGGTCATAGATTCATCTTCCCAGCATACACCCCCCATTCTCCAGACACGCCTAGAGGTTTGAGCTTTATAAAAGTGACAGTGGTTTGATGAGAGCTGGCTCTATGACATTTGCCAAACCATAAGCACAAACACAGAAAGGGGCTCCTAGCTTCAGTCTGAGTGCCATATGAAAAGCTACACACCCAGGACACACCTAGGCAAAAACCAGAGGCAGCTGGCAATTTAAGCAGACAGGATCATCTCCCCAGCTTTCTTGATGGAGGGGGTCAGGTGAAGAAGAGCAGTGCCCTCAGGGTTGGAATTCCAGAGGGCTTACTCTCCCCACCTGCAGAGTCACTGACTGACCCTCAAAGCTGCTATTCCAAGCCTGCCCACCTCACTGCCAGGAAACCACATGATGTGGTGCACAGCAGGGAAAGTTAATGTCAGGGATTTTTGCTGCTTCTCAGAGCAGGAAACACAAATGACTGAGGAAGATATTGATTGTTAACATGCAATACACTATTGACCAAAATGCCCTACCTACTTTCCCTTCTGGCCATTTGATGTATTCTGTCTCCTTGGTTTCCACAGATGAGGAGTGGACAGCAGAGATCACTGTGTATTCACCTCAACAGATCATCAAAGTTTATGTCGGAAGCCACTGGTATGCAACCACCCTGCAGACCCTCCTGAAGGTATGGTTGGCTGTGGCTTCCCCGCTCCACCTTTGGCTTCTTCACCTGAGCTGCTTTGGGACCTGTCACCTGACCCTCACACAGCCTCCAGCACCTGCTTAGAACAAGGACTTTCTCCCCAACTCCACTGCCCAAAGTGCCCTATTTAGGAGAAGTGGAATGCACAAGTCTGCTGGGAAGGTCCTCAAGTGTGTGGGTAGGGAGGAGGCCAGTTCTGAGGGGTCTGAACTGAGAAGGAGGTAGAGTGGGATTCCAAATGCCCCTTGCTGGTCTATGGGCCAGCAGAAGTTGAAGCAGAGATGATGTGCTTCTCTGTGGATGCTCTGCTCCCCATTGTGGTTCTCTGTGGCTGACAAGAAAGGAAGATGGAAATCCCAAAGCCTTTGCTCTAGCATGGCTGGGAAAATGGAGCAAGAGAAAACTGACCTGCTCCTTACTAAAGACCTCTACTCTTTGGGACTGACTGAGTCTGGTGTCCAACCCCCTCTAGTATCCAGAACTACTGTCCAACCCTCAGAGAGCGTACTGGATCACGTATGGACAGACCCTGCTCATCCACGGGGATGGCCAAATGTTCCGACACGTTCTAAACTTCCTGAGACTTGGAAAACTGTTTTTACCATCTGAATTTAAGTAAGTGAAGCAAGGAAATGGTATGATGAAATCACAGAGGCTGACCCCTCCCTCTGCAACAAAGGAAACCTGAGTTTGCAGCCTTCAGGGAGTAGGTTATATTATTTCCAACATATGGATAGTTGTTTGAGGCAGCAGCCCTAGGAGCTTATGTCCCCTCTCACACTCCTACCCCAGCTGCCCAGCCTGATGTCTCCTTATCATTTGCAGGGAATGGCCCCTCTTCTGCCAGGAGGTAGAGGAATACCACATTCCATCCCTTTCAGAAGCGCTTGCACAATGTGAGGCATACAAGTAAGGAAACTTCACTCTGGATCCCATGTTTGGAGTTTAGGCCTTTAAATTCCTTTGGAAATTCTATCCTAAGTCTCACCTCCTAGTGGTACCTGTTCTCCTTGGGGTTGAGGGAGTGACGCAGGCCCAGGATTGGCCAGTGACCTAAGAAAAACCCTTTTAGAACCTCTTCTCCTCTGCTGTCTAGCATTAACTCACAGCCAAAAGGCAGACCTAACCAACTGGCCAATGGGCTGAGGGAAGTGTGTACTTACCCTGTTGGTTTCTACAGGTCATGGACCCAGGAGAAAGAATCTGAAAATGAAGAAGCTTTTCCCATCAGGAGGCTGCATGTGGTAACAGAAGGACCAGGGTCATTGATGGAGTACAGTAGAGATGCCAAAGAAGTAAGCCCCAGCCTTCTTTGGTTGGTTTTGGCTTTAAAAACAGTACCACAAGGCTTGAGGGCAGGCCCAACTACCAAGGGATATGATAAAATGACAGAGCAGGGCCTACACAGGTTCCTAGTACAGGAACTGGTTTCTGAACCTTGAAAGAGGCACAGGTATGTGTTGGTCACTTGCAGCCTGTGATGCCGATGATATCTCCTGTTGGAGTGTCAGGGGCCCCTGGGTGGGGACCACCCCCACTTAGATTGAGCAAAGCTCAAATGGGTAGCCTATGTCAGGGGTGGGATTGTTCTAGATGAACAAGTGAAATCTTGGGAGGCTCAACTTATTAGATCTTGGGTAAGGCCTCCATATCAATGCACAACATGCCAGAGCTACGTGCCCTTCCCTCTCCAGACCACAGCCTACATGCCTGTGGACTTCCAAGACTGCAACGACAGGACTCCATGGAACAAGGCCAAGGGGCATCTGGCAAGGTCCAGCCAGATGGAGGAGGCTGAGCAGTACACCCGATCCATCCAGGTGTCCCTGTGCCGAAATACGAAGAGGGCGGGTAATCCCAGCACGTACTCACACTGCCCTGGCTTATGTACCAACCCCAGACACTGGAGAGGTCACCCTGAGAGTCCCCCCAAGAAGAAATGCACCACAGTCAACCTCACACAGAAATCTGAAACCAAAGAGCCTCCTGTCACCCCCATGCAGAAACTCATCTCCCTGGTGAGGGAATGGGACATGGCCAATTGCAAACAGTGGGGATTCCAGTCACCAACAGCCCCCCGGGGCAACCCCTTGGAGGAGGCCACCCTGCAGCTCCCCCTGGGAAGTGAGGCTGCTTCCCAGCCCAGCACCTCAGCTGCCTGGAAAGCCCATTCCACAGCCCCAGAGAAAGATCCAGGCCCACAGGCAGGGCCTGGGGCTGGAGCAAAAGACAAGGGGCCAGAGCCAAACTTTAAGCCCTACTTCCCCATGAAAAGAGCTGTCACCCTGAAGGACTGGAACAAGCAGAAGCCAAAGGAGAGAGGTGAGTCCTATCCCATCCCTAGGTCTCATTTACAACAGAAAAGGCAAACTCCTTGGCCAAGACCTCAGTGCGAGTTTATGACAAAGGGAGACTAGAGGCTCCCACTAACTGATGCCAGCTCTGTGCCAGGCCAGCAGATGCAGAAATGACTGGCACACTGGTGTGGTTTGGGGAACTAAATGATCACACAGGTGAAGTGATGAGTGCTGTGCAAAGGGGGAGCCCACGAAGTAGGAACACTTCATGGACTGGGGAGTCAGCAGGGGAAGAAAAGCAAAGCCTAGGGACTTAGTAGAAGCACAGGGCATTGGTCTAGCTGGAGGCCAGACTTCACATGCGGGTGTGAAGGGAGATGAGGCAGAAGACATGTCATCAGGACAGGCCTTGTGACCCAGCATCATGATTTGCTACTCTGTTCCAACTCTGACAGGAGGGGCAGCCCCGGAGGAATTTTCAACAAGGGAGTACTGGCCAGGTGTGGATTTCAGAAAGCCAGCTCTAGGCACAGAGGAAATGCAGCAGCAGGAGGGGGAGTGTTGGAGCCTCCAAGTTAATTCTAGGATAGGGAGCTGGGCTAGACAACCGTGGAAGGTGGAGGGGGATAAGCCAAATGAGGCGGGGTTTCCAGCTTGCATCCAAGCTGCAATGGGGATAGGTCCATAGTGAGATGAGTGGACAAAAGTAGAACTTGGGGAAGAGTACACATTATGTGTGAGGCGCTGAGGGACATCAAAGTGGAAAAGTCTAGGAGACAGGAAGGTCTATGAAGACCTGGCTGATGAATACATGTGTGACCAGGCAGAGGGGAGGCAGTCCCAGGAAGCATGTGAGAATTGCCACGCCAGGCTGTTTCTTCTACTCCCTCCAAGTCCTTCCTATTCTATACTCTGTCACCTTCCCTTTTAATGGCTCAGGCCCTGCTTGGAAAGGCCTTCTTGAACTGGGCCTGTAAGCCTTAAGTTGGTCTGTCAAGCTTTGGAGTAACAAATGTCCACTCTTCCAGAATGGGCATGCATCAAAAGCTGGCCCCCAAAGCTCCTCTCATTTTGCAATTTTATAAAGCTTTCCAGTCCCCAACTGGGATATTATTGGCCGTTTGATACCAGTCTTAGCTCAACAAAGGAATTGGGAGAGTTCTTTGGAGTTTCAACATCCAGGACTTGGCTTGCAATGATGCCAGAGCAATGAAAAGAGAATAGGCCAGGACAGGCCCCTGCCAGTCCAGCGTGTCACTTCCGAGAACCTAGAGGGAGCAGCTGCTGGAAGGCTGGGGTAACAAGACTGTACTGGTCTATTACCAGAGCACCCCCCTTTCCCTCCTTTCCTGGGCTCTGAGGTGGCTTAAGGAGAGCCCCTTCCCCATGTTGTTTTCACAGAAAGCCCTGCCCCTGAGCAGCCTCTGCCTGAGGCCAGTGAGGTGGACAGCCCAGGGGTCATCCTTAAAGTGACTCATCCCCCGGTGGTGGGCAGCGATGGTTCCTGCATGTTCTTTGAAGACAGCATCATCTACACCACACATATGGAGCACCTTGGGCTTACACCACCCAAAACCAGCCCCCAGGCCCGAGGTGAGACTCTGGAGCCATATCTATCTTGTGGATATGACTGAGCTCCCACCCAGGGTACTTCAGGCAGACAGTGTCCCTTGGGAGCCCTACACCTCCACCCTTCTTCCAGGCTGCCTCTAAAGGCCCTTGCTGTGGACAGATGTGGCCATATCCACTCTCCCTCCCCCACAGAGGTGACTTTCCTGAGTTTCTCTCTGTCCTGGGAAGAGATGTTTTATGCACAGAAATGTCACCGCTTCCTGACAGACATCATCCTGGATTCCATCAGGCAAAAGGACCCCAAAGCTATCACAGCCAAGGTGGTCTCCCTGGCCAACCGGCTGTGGGTATGTATGATAGGCCCCAGGCCCTGGGGCACCCTGTACCTTCTCCACCTGTCCCCTGCCCCTGCAGTAAGTGGTGCAAGACAAGAGGAAGCAAGCCATGATAGGGGTGGGGGGTGTGAGGGGAAGAGGTCAGGGGCAGAAGCATGGCAGGAAGGGCAAGAACAGGAAGGCAGGGCAGTTTCACCTGGATCAAGCTTTGGCCAAGGGGCAGATTTGGAGTGACAGTGCCTACCAACTCCTGTGGCTCTGCAGGCCCAGGGAAGTCCCTGGGCCTAGGAGCTGCATCTCACTGAGGGCCTAGGAGCTACCCTGCCCTGCCTGACCATGGGCTCTCCTGGCAGACGCTGCACATCAGCCCCAAGCAGTTCGTGGTGGATTTGCTGGCCATCAGTGGCTTCAAGGATGACCGGCACACCCAGGAGCGCCTCTACAGCTGGGTGGAGGTGAGGGTCACCTGTAGCCCCAGGAAATAGAGACCCTGTGGATGCCTCAGATGGATATCGAGTCTTGCTACACCAGGGCCAGACCAGTGCTGCCCAAAAGGCTAGGCAGGCAGCTAGACCACTGGTCCCTAGACTCAGGCAGGGAGAAATGATGGCTGAACTTAACCGATTCAGAGTAGTCAAAAAGCAGTATTTGAGCCACTAGTTATCCTTCCAACGATCCCAACTTTGCTGTCATCACTAATAACCCTGGCCACACTTGGGGAAGCATATCATATGAGCCCAACTTTGGCTTATATGGGAGTTAGACCTTTTCAACCAGTGATACCAACTCTACCTACTTAGTCATGATAGAACCATTTTGTACATTTCTTTCATATTTAAACTGTTTTAAAGCATTCTTTAAAAAGAAAATGTTCGATAAGGGCAAGGGATTGATCATCCTTAAAATAATCTTAGCATTGTAGGTGGGAAAGATTTAGCTAATTTCTCATTAATCTGATATTTCCATAATCAAGTGTATTATTATAATACCATTTACCATAAGCACACTAGTACCCAATTACAATTAGGCCTATCTGTCATTTAAATGGCTTATCTGTCATTTGTAAAGTTGAAGTAAGCATCTATGGCTAGAAAGTAGAAAACCAGGGCCAGGTGCAGTGACTCATGCCTGTAATCCTAACACTTTGGGAGGCTAAGGTGGGAGGATCACTTGAGGTCAGGAGTTTGGGATCAGCCTTAGCAAGAGCAAGACCCCATCTCTATAAAAAATAGAAAAAAATTAGTTGGGCATGGTGGCATGTGCCTATCGTCCCAGCTACTCGGGAGGCTGAGACAGGAGGATTGCTTGAACCGGGAGTTTGAGGTTGCAGAGAGCTACAATGATGCCATTGCACTCTAGCCAGGGCAACAGAGTAAGACCCTGTCTCAAAAAAAAGAAAAGTAGAAAACAGTATCAGGAAACATATTTTTGATCCTCTAGTCATTCTACTCAGTTTCCTGTAGCCACTCCTAGCCACAGGCCTGTGAGATGCCCTTTGGGCTCAACTGAGCCCTAGATCATCAAATGTCCCTAATAGGGCTTGTCCTGTCCCTGCCCCTGCCCAGATGGGAGACCCCCACTCTGACCCCCATGGAGCTGGTGTAGGCAACTGGCCAGGAAATCAAGAATAAGACCAGCATTTCCTTCCAGCTCACACTACCTTTCGCCAGGAAATACGGCCGCTGCGTCGACCTGCTCATCCAGAGAGGCCTATCTAGGTCTGTTTCTTACTCTATCCTGAGCAAGTACTTACAAGAAGGCTAGGGTGCCCAGAGACATGGCCTGCATGCCCCCACCCACCAAGGCTCATTTTAACTGGGGGTATACCCAGAATGTGTGTGTCCACCTAAAGATACATACAAGTCTATTTTTTTTTTATTATAAACAAATAAAAGAATAAATCACAAGTCAAAAGCCTAAACTCCTTCTCTGAGACACCAAAGGCCTAACAACCAGTAAGATAATTTTAGACAACTCTCTTGAAAGCTATTCAAAAGGCATCAAGTCATAATAACCAAATTGCTCCAGGAAAAAAAAAAGGGCTGGACCTTGGGGGGCCAGGGCAGGTAAGGGTAAATGTACAAAAGGAGTGGGCCAGCTCCTATGGTTGAGGACCTCAGCTTTAAGTCCAAGGACTGAGGAGCAGCTGCTGGGAGCCCACCTGGGTTCCTCCTGAGGGGTGGGGGCAGCCTAGTCACTATCCAGAACCATATGGTGTCCCACCAGCCTAGAGCATGGAAATGCCCACCCTCTACCTAGTCTATTCTTAACCCACAACTGGGGTGGGAGCCGGAGAGGGAACAGAAGGGGACATGGGGCCAGGAGCCTAGCATCAGGGTGCTCATTCAGGCTCTGCAGCCAGACTCCCCTGTGGGGGCCCCATTCCAGTTTGTCCAATGGCTACAGATATCAGAAAGGGTACTCAACAGGGCTGTCCGTGTACGCTGGAGATGGCCTGGGTGCCAGCCATGCCCTGGTCACAGCAGATCCAGAGAGGTGTTATTCCTTGGAGCTACAGGCTGCTGGATCCACTGCTTGTCTTCAAGCCTGGGCTGGGCCTGGGCTCAGACCTGTGGTGCCAGGCTAGGCATGAATGCCTATTTCCCTAGCTCTGGGTCTAGGGAGGTCTCTGGGGAATAGCTCTGGCCCACCCACTCCCAGCTCTGCCTAAAGGAAAGGCAGGCTGGGGAGGGGCTTGTAGGTATAGGGCAAGATGGCACTCACATAGGACAAGTCCTCGAGACCCCTGCCCAGGGCCTGCCCTGACACACAGCTACTGTCAGAGCCACTGGAGCCACTGGCTGATGGGCACTGGGACGAGACCTCTGAGTCCTCAGGAGCTAAGGAGGAAGAATGGGTAAGCTGTCAGCAGGGGAGGCCCAGACCCCAAGCCATGCCCTCCTGCCTCTGGCTAAGCCCAGACATACTCAGAGAGGGCTGGCTGCCCAGCTCCACCTCAGCGTCCAGCGCCGCTTCCTCTGGGAAGTTGGGAGGATATAGGGGCCAGCGGAGATCCAGAAGAGCTGGGTCTCTATACAGGTGCAGGTTGAGGGACCCCAGCACAGAGCAAGAGGCAGGGTCTCCAGGAAGGGAGCTTGAGGCCCCCAGGTAAGGGCTGTCATAGTCAAGCGGGGCCACAGCAATGGAGGCCCGAGAGCGAACTTCTGCATAAGAGAGAGGGTCAGGTTGGGACAGGCCCAGCCTGACCCAAGACCCCGAGGGGAGCACAGGCCAGGGATGACAGAGGTCCACAGTGCCTCCCATACAGCTGTCCTCACCCACACCCCCTGTAGCCTGACTGCTACCTCGGCACTTTAGGACGTAGTTGATGGTGCGGTCGTTGATAGCTTCTTCACTGGGGGCAATGTCTTGGAAGGCCTTGTTCCCAACACCCATGGACACCATCTCAGCCATACGCACCTCTGGATGGAGAATGGGAATGAGCAGGGCCCCTTTAGACATTAGCCTTATCCTTGGGCCTCTATATAACCCCCCCAATAATAAGTCTTTCCTGTATACCCACATCCAGCAGATTAGCCATCCTGGGCACTGAGCACTTCTGGTGCCAGGCTCTCTCCTCCCAATAATCCTGTGGGGCAGCTGTCCTAATTCCCCTTTTAGAGATGAGGCCCCTTATACTCAGAGAGGTTAATGTTTCAGCCAAAGTCAGAGACAGTGACAGCAGGACTGCCTGACTCTGAAGTTCCTTCCTCTGCACTGGCTGCTGCTGAGCCTCCTCCCCTCTTGCCAAGATTTTCCAGGTCCCTAGCCCCTTCCTGGGCTCCTGTGGGACAACATAAGCTCTCCAGGTAGGGGAGTATGGGGTGAAGTAGGGGGCAGAGACCCACCCTTGTTGTGGACAGCCTGCCTCCAGAGCAAGCGGGAGATGTCAGCCGTCCAGGACTGCTTGGTGGCCAAGCTGGAGGCCTGCAGCACAAAGGTGTCCCTGGCCTTGCGACGGCGGAACCAGATCTCAAAGCGCAGATTGCTGTCACCGCAGCACTCAGTGAGGCCAAGGTCTGCCATCTGTGTGGCCGGGAGAGAGGAGTTTGAAGTGTGGGGGTGGAAGGAAAGGGCAGGGGCCAGGGTCAGGATGGGCCTACCTTGAAGGAGCGCTTGTAGGCAAATGTATCAACACCTGTAGGCCCACGGCGAGGCTTGCTGAAGAGCAGCAGCTCCTCAAAGAGGAAAACACGGCGTAGGGACTTGTGGCGCCCAGCGCGCACCATGAACTCATCCTGTCGCACCAGCTGCCCCTGTTCCTTGAGGTTGACCTGCAAAGTTGGGGCTCAGTGGGTGCCCAGCCTCTTCTGCCCTCTTGTTCCACACCTACTGTCCCCACCCACTGCAGTCTGGGATGACTCACATCACAGCCCTGGATGGCGTCCATGGCTAACAGGTCATTGCCATGTCGCAGCTGGAAGTGCACGAGGCTTTGGGCTGCCTGCAGAGCATTCAGCTCCTGCGTGGAACCCCCGCAGGCCCGAGCCAGCTCCTGCAGCAGCAGCGCATATTTGCTCATGCGCTGGATGGGCTTCAGCAGGTAGGAGGCCAGGTCCAGGTGGTCCCCCAGTGCTTGCTGCTTGTCCTGCCAGGTGGGTAGGAGACCACTGAGTGGTTGAAGGGTACTGCCCCCATGCCTCTACTCTTCCTACAGTCTCAAGCTCACCTACCTTGAAGAAGGCATGACCATAGCTGGACATCAGGGCGTCAGAGCGAGGTTTGTTCTTGCTGTAGAGCGCATACATCCCAAACTGCACCCTCTACAAAGACATGCGGCTCAGCCCAGGTGCAGGGGGTCCAGCTCACAAAGGCTGGCCCCCCTGGGCCAGATCACTCTCAGCTTGAAAGGACCAAAATGCCAACAGATGGCTCCACAGGGAGGCCTCGACCCACAGATCCAAACTTCACTGCTTTGAACGAGGGGTGATGTGGCAAGAACAGGCCCTGTGCTGAGAGGGTGTGCCCAACAGGCCCTCTGGGGAATAAATCCGCTACCCTCCCATTGAGCCTCTGCCTTCAGCTATGCTCCTCCCACAGCTCTGAGAACATCTCTCTGGTCTCACCTCTGCCCTCTTCTTGCTTCCTACACTCAGCCACGTCTTTGCTCACTTCCTTAACCGCTGGGCCTCTTTCCTGCCACATGGCTTTGCACTTGCTTTTTCCTCTGGGTAGAACACTGTTACTTCAGCTCCTCCCCGTCTCAGTGCAAATGTCAGCTCCTCAGGGGCCTTCTCTAACTGCTCCCTCAAAGGTGGGAATCCCTGCCCTGCCAGGAACTCACAAGCATCCATCCTGCCTATTTTTCTTCTAGCTCCAACTATAATCTAAAAGTATCTTTTTCACTTTTATGTCTCCTCCACTGAACTAAGAGCACTCCGAAATGCAGGGACCCTGTCAGTCTTGCTCATAGCTGTACCCAGCAGAGGGCCTGGCACCAAGCATGTGCCCAGTGCTCCTTGGGGACTGTGGTAGAATCAGCTGGAAGCCATGTGGCCTGTAGGGCTTACGTGGCGCAGGAAGGCATAGGCCACTCGCGGTGGGTGCCGGGTGCAAGCCTCTAGCTCACGCAGGAAGAAATGGCAGTGGAAGTCACGCAGCTTCTCCAGGTTGCCAAAGAGGTGGGAGCGCTGGCCTCGGAGGCCCTGGGGCACATCAGGGCGATCCAGCTCGGGGAAGTAGTTGTCCATGGTGTAGTCAAGGGCCCGGACATATTCCCGCTCCGTAGCCACCATCTCTGCCAGCACCAGCTGTAGCCTACCAGGTAGCTGGAGTCAGGAACCAAGACATCTACTCCCACTGCCCTCCCCTACCTGCCTACTGCCTGTACCTGCTGGGACTCCTGGGGTCAGAGCTGCCTGGTGGAGGCACAGTAGCTGATAGCTGGGGCTGGGCACCTCCTCCAGCCTCTGGTCCATGGCAGGCAGTGACAATGGCCGCATGGTGGCAGTGATGGGTAGGTTTGCTGAGACTCTTCCCCAGATTCCGATCAAAGCTGTAGGCCTTCCTCAGGGGAGGTGGGGCAGGTACATTGGGGACCCGGCTGACAAACAGGCTAGCTGTGCTACCCACCGATGATGGCTTCAGGGCAGACTCTAGCTTCTGGTCCAGGGCCAGCCAGGTGTCCTGGCACTGCGCCCAGGCCCAGCGGCACTCCTGGCGGATGCCCTCTGAACCCAGCCCTGTGGCCAGAGCCCACATCTTTCGGAAGTGTGCAGGAGGCAGGTCAGGGTGCTTGGTCCAATGCAGCTGCAGCCGCTGCAGCACAGTCCCTGGGCGCTCCTGCTCCAGCTCTGCCAACACCCGCTGCCCCTCCTCCGCCCATGTTGAGGCCTGCAACACCAGGGCCAGACAGGTGTTAGAAGAGGAACCCACCATGGCCACCCAGCCTTCTGCTCCTCTACCTGCTCCCCATCCCACAGGATGCTGGCCCCAGGCCACATCCCCAGTGGCTGGATTTGGGGGTCAGACTTAAGAGAAGGAAAGAGAACATGTGGCATGACCAGGAAAAGTTCAGGCTGTGGTGGAGGTGAGGCAGTCACCCCTTGGGTCCCACAGACCACCTGGATGCAGGGACAGGATCCTCACCCACCTGCTTGAAGAACTGAAACAGCTTCTCAGCATCTGCCAGCCGCTGGCGCCGCTGGGCCAAAGCCCTAGAGAATTCAGTCAGCTGGGCTCGCAGTGCCAGAAAGCGCGCTCCACAGGGGCCCAGGTCAGCTGCCTCCCAGCCAGCCAGCGGCTGCAGAAACTTCTCCCCTTGCCTGACCTGCTCCTGGACAGACAGAGACTGGGCTCAGCCAGCCCAGGCCTGATGGTCCAGCCCAAATCCAGATCTTTCCCACTGACATGTCATCACCAGGTCTCTCCAGTGGTGGAAGAGTTTCCCTACCCCTTCCAGGCCCTACCTGTATCCAGTCTCCTCTATCAGCAAAACGTCCTGGAGGAATTGTCCGTCCTCACCACTACCAGTCTTTACTCCACACTAGCCCACTCCAGCCCCACCTCTGCCCCTGTCCCCAGCATGTCCCAGGCCTCACTGACTCCACCCCTTAATAGCACTCAGGCCGCTCTCTCCTGGGCATCCTTGACTCCTCCCCATCATTCTCCAGTAGGTCCCCTTGCTGCTGGTCCCCTTCCCTTGAGCCATTAAACATGGGGGGGGGGACTCCTGAGACAGTACGCTCTCTCCCAGGCAAGCTTATGAAAGCGACTACAAATGTCATCCACACATCCACGCCCATCAAGTGACCCTCCCCAGCCAGACCTCTCTGAGCTCCAGGCCCAACACCCAAGGGCCTTTCTCTCCTCCCTCACAGCCATCTCAGAAGCACACCCAAGACGGGACACACGAATGCTCTTCCCCCCTCAAATGTCCTCATCTCCTAGTCCCTCTCTCAGGGAACATTCATCCTTACAACCTCCCTCTCCCTCACCCTCCCACATAGATCCACCATCAGATCCATCAATCTCTCAAACCCGTCTCCCCTGCCACCATCCTGGCCAAAGAAAGCATCAATCCCCACCAAGACTAGTGCAATTACCTCTTCACTGGACTCTCCATGTTCACCCTCCAAGTCACTGTCTACTCAGAAACTAAAGTAATCTTTCTAGAATACAGATCTTTGAAACTTTCCTGCTGAAACTTTACACTGCTACAGGGCCCAGCGATCTCACCACTGACCAGTCTTCCAGCCTCATGTCACTTCATCTCACCCTGCTCTCCCTCTTCCGTTCTGTGTTTCAACCTCACTGGATGTTCTGGCTCCTCCGGAGCACCATGTTCCCTCCTGCCACAAGAACTTTGCACGTGCTGCTTCCCCAGCCTGAAATGACCCCATCCCCAACTTCTTCTGCCTAGTTGACCCCAACTTATCTTTCAGCTGAAATATCACCCCAAAAAAGCTTGCCCAACACCCTGCTAGATCAAGTCTTTATTCTACCCTCAGGTAGAATCATTTGTGTTGCTTCTGTCCAGAGTTCTTGCCTCAGTTTACAATCACATATATGACTGTGCTTGATTACAACTGATTTCCTCTGCTGGACTAATAGTTCCAGGAGAGCAATGAATTGATCTGATTTCACTCACTCCTGCATTCCCAGTTCCTAATACCTGAGCAAGTGGCCAAACTTACTTGGGCAACCTGGTCCAGCTCCCGAAAAGGGCCTTGGGCCTGGAGCAGCATGTCCAGTGAGGGCTCCTCTGGCTCCTCCAGTGCTGGCCAGCCCACCTGTTGCAGCCACACTTCAATCTGGAGGGGCATAAGCAGGGACAGGTGAGGAGGCTGCTGTGGGTCAGGGGTCACGCTTGAGATCAGGGGCAGGGCTCACTCTGGGCAAGTAGTTCCCACCTGGTGCAGCCCGCCCTCCTGGGCTTCCATCATCTGGATCAACTCTAGAGCCTGTACTCGCTGGTTGCTCTGAAGGGTCAGTTGATGCAGCAGTCCGTCCACACGGCCATACAGCTCACCAGCCTTGTCCACTGCTGGCCTGGTACAGGGTACATGGTCTTAGGGCTCCTGCCAGTCCCCTTGCTCCACTCCACCCTATCCTGGTTCTGAGCCAGCCAGTTGAGTACTTGGCACAGATATGGTGGGTTGCGCTGGGGCAAGGTCTGGGAGCTGGGCTCATACCTACCTGTAGTCTGGACTCAGGGTCACCTCTGGGACCTTCTGCTTCAACCATGCCAGCTCCATGCCCCCCTGGCATTGTAGCCATGCCAGCCGTGGGGAGTCTAGCACCTGCTGCATCAGGACCCGTGCCTGCCGTAGCAGCTGACCAACTTCCTATGATTGACAGCAATAGGCAGTGGAGGTGGCCATGGGAGAGAAGGAGGGAGACACAGGCCACTCAGGGAGGTGTTGGGAGGGGTCACTCACCCCAGACTCCATGGGCTGGGGCACAGCCTTCATACTCTCGATGGCCCCCTGGAGCAGGGCACAAACCTCCTGGCAGCTCTGCAGTAGGGCTTCTAGACGCTGTGAGCAGAGATAGGCACAACCAGAGCAGCATGTAGTGCTGGTCCCAGGGCTCTTGGATTCCAGGCCACTGCAGACAGCTTTTCCCTGCTCAAGTCAGGGCTCAAGCCTCCTCTGTAGGCCCAGGTTGCCTACATAACCCCCCACCCACCTCCACCCGGTTGCACTAACCATCCGGAAATGCAGCCAGGCCTGGTGGTAGTAAGGCAGACATCCTCCCAGTGAAGTGGGCAACCCCGCGGTGGGGATGTGGGTCAGCAGGCTCTGATAAGAGAGTAGCTGCTCCAGCTGTAGGAGAAGGCAGTCTTGTGACCGAGGCCTGGGTGGGGAAGCACCCCATCTTCAGCCTTAACCAACTTGGCTCAGTACCTGTAGGCCAGAAGGCACCTCCTCTGGCATTTTTCCTACTAGTAGCACCTGGTGCACCGACCCTGGGGCTGCTTCCTGCAAAGGAATCTGAGCTCAGCCCTGCCCACAACTCTACACAAAAGGAATGAGGGAGAGCTACAGTCCTGTACTCACTTGTAGTTGGCTGAGCCCCAAGAAGAGGGACGAGCTTGGGGAACAAATTCGGGCATCAACTAGCACTGTCAGTCCTAGAGCCTGTACTTCTGGCCTAAAGAGGTGAGCTTCAATTCAGTATCTGATTCTCAGATCCTGACATTTCCTGGCTCAGGCTCAGTCCCCCAACCTCCTCCCCCAAACCTGGGGATGCTTCGCAGGTAGAGCAGGAGGTGGATGAGTTCACCGCTGTTGCACTTGGGATGAAGCCAGGCTGGGCTGTGGGCACACAGAAGCAGCACTGCTCGGCCTTCTACATCCCTAGTCCCTGTGGGGAGGAGGCAGTGAACACCCACCCAATCGGGTCACCCCACCTCTACCACCTCTAGACCCTCCGGGCTACCTGGCAAGGCAGCCATGCCACTGGCCAGCAGCTCCCAAGTGAGGTCCCGGGCCAAGAGACAGTCAGTAGGCTTAGGGAGGCTGGATCTGCTGGGGGCTTGGGAAGGGAAATGGCTTGGGTTTATATTGGACCACCTACACTGAAACCCCTCCTTTGACCTGGGCTTCAGCCTGAATAGAGTCAGAGACATACCCCTCCACACCTCACCCCCAGGTCTCAACATCCATCTCTAGGCATCCTCGTTCCCTTCCCAGACTTCCCTAGCCCAGCCTCTCTTACCTGCCTCCAGCAGCTTTGATGATGTCTCCAATAAAGCATCTCCAAGGTCCGCAGGGTCACTGTCCAACTCCCCAGGGCCCAAGCTGGCTGGAATTGCCCTGCTTGGATCTGGGTTCCCTACCAAGCCTATCCCTGAGCTGTCATTCTCACCCTGTGCCAGGCTGAGGTGGGAGGACATGGGACATAGGAGACTCTCCACTCCAGAGGGGGCCAGCTCCTCTGACTGGACTGAGGAGCCTCCTAATGTAATCTGCTGGGCATCCCCCGACCCATCTGAAGCCATCTCTTCTAGGGATAATTGAAGCTCCCTGGACAAAGGGCTGCCATGTAGCCCTTCACCCTGGGCTGCCTCTGCTGGTCCTCTTGGAGGTTTGGAGTCCTTGATCTGCATCTGGGGAGCAGGTTCCTCCTCCTCCTCCTCCCAGGCATCCCTGAAACTGCACACAGCAAATCTCCAATCTGTGGCATGGCCCTGGGAGTCTGGGGACTCATCCCCACACTCCTGGGGCCTTTCCATCACTTCCTTCCTTCCCCCGGTGGGCCTGCTCAGGGCTGGGCCTCTGTATGAACAGAGGACCCCCTCTTCCAGGAACTGGGTTGAAGATGGTTGGGTAGGACTCGGTGGGCAATGCAAGCGCAAAGCACTAGGCCGCAGGAGAGGGGTGCCAGTCTTGGTGCGAGGGCAGAGGAAGCGCTGCCGCCAACATACTTCAGGCCTGGAGAGGAAGGAAGGTCAGGGGGCTCCCTTTTGCTCAGGCCTCCTGTCGCAGCCCCGTGGGCTTTTGCCCGGTGGGACCCCACCCTTGCACACGCCCTCACGTGGGGCTCTCGCGGCTGTGGCGCGGGGCTACCTCGTGCTCAAGCTCCCCGTCCCGGCCAAGCCTCGGCGCGGAGACTGGCACGGGCCCTCCCTCGCCCGCTGGTCTGACTCACGACCCGGGGATGGGCGGCAGATAATTGGGAAGCCCCAGAGGCCTCGCAGCCGGAGCCCTCGAATGGACCTCGACGGCAGAGACCGCGCGGCAGCCCGGCGTCCAGGGGCGCCGCCTCCTGGCCGTGGGGGAGGGAAGGACGGGCCGCCCAGGACGGAGCGCCGCGCCGCCCCCTGGAGGCCGGAGGACGCAGCCACAGCGCGCCCCGCAGGGGCCGACGGTAGACGGCCGGCCGGCTGGGAACCCAAGACGCAGCCCCGCAGCGCCCCCGCCCGCCGCCCCACGGCCCCAGACGGCTCGCCTCGCCCCGCCCCGCCCCTATCCCCCAAGGCCCCGGGGACTCTGCACCCAACCCTCGGCGTCTCAGTGCGCGGGTCCGGGCAGCGACCAACGGCCGGCGGTCCTACCGTGCCCACTCCCGCCTGGCGAGCGGCGCCGGAAGCGGTACCCGGGGGCAGGCCGTGTAGGTGCGCGAGGGTGAGTGAGCGCGCAGGCCCGCCGGGGCTGCCGGCGGCTTCAGCTGTGGAGGGGGGCGCTGCCTTGGCACAGCCACCAAGAGTCGTTTGTAGGGTCCCGAGACGGGATGGGGCTGCCGTCTGGGCTGGAGGGTGGGGGCTGAGCCAGGCCTGCCAGAATCCCCCAGATACTCCCCCCCTTGCACTCTCTGGCACCTCTGTACCTTCCTCCCCACAGAGTCCAGCCAGGGAGGCTGGGCCGAGGTGGGGTCCTGGGGCCAGAGACTAGCCCAGGCCTAACTCCTCCACTTACCTGCTGGGGGAGTTCCAGGGACTCTCTTCACTTTGAACCTCTCCTTCCTCACCTGTAAAAAAGGAGAGTCATTCCTTTCTCCTGGGATTGCTGTGAGGACTAGGGAAGACCCTGTAAGTCGAACGTCAGCTCACCGCTAGCACCTGGGCTGTGTTGGTGACCTACCCCTCATTTCACTCTCAGTCAGGGAATCCTGAACTGATGAAAGCCACTTGGGTAGCTCTTAGGTTTGGGGTCCCATTGGGGCATGTGGTCCTGGACTGAAACTCCCCAAAATTTATGTGAAGATTATGGGGAAGTTGGCCATGTGGCCAGGAAAAGGCACTGAGCCCCACATAATGTCCAGGCCCTTGGTCCCTGGGAGCACGGAGCAGTGGGACAATAGCCTCCCTGGCTTTAAGGCAGGCACCTCCTTCATGAACCTGGGCATCAGAGCAGGCACAGTGGGAACAACAGCAATCTCCCACCCAACCCAGCACCTAGAGTCTAGACTCCCAGGTAGCTACAGAGGAGCCATCTCCATAAGCAGGTCTGAAAAAGCAGCCTTGGAATTGTCCTGCTCCATCGCTAAATCCCAGCCGGACCTCTCTTCCTACCCTCAAAGCTTCAGTGAGCATCGTCCAACCTTGGCTCCTTCCCCAGCTCTGTCCCAGGGCCACCCCCACTGAGTCACTGCCTCCAGTTCCCTCCTTCCCCTTCTGCTGCCCACCCCCACCCACCAGCCAGGAACCCTAAGAGCTGGGGGGACCTGATGTCAGGCACACATACCACTCTGAGTGCCAGAGACAAGAGCCTCAAGCCACAGGCCACAGCTGACCCTGGCATCCCTGGGCACAGCAGGCAGATTCAGGGGAGGTGCAGCCACACTGAGATAGAGGCAGGGCTAGGCCCTGGTTTCCCACTCCACAGAGAAAGCGTGTTGTAAACTTTGTGGAAACTGGGACTGTGTATTGTCTATTTCTGTACTTTCAGCTCCCAGCATGGTGCTTGGCATAGAATAAATGCTTAGGGATGCCTGAGACTGGTCACACTACGCCTGCCCTCCCGAGGCTCCCCATCTATGAATCAAATGGAAACAAGAGTCACAAATGGAGGCAGATTCAGAATCTCATCCTGAAAAGGAGACAGAAAGTAGAGAGCTACAGGATGCACAGCCACAGGATGGCAAAGGTACAGATAGAAACAGGGACAGACTGAGGCCTGGGAGGGAATATTGGGGGGCTAGGCATGGAGCCAGCCTGGGGTGGCTGACCACAGTGGGCTCTGTGGGCTGAGCTTGCAGGACTGAGCAGTGACTCATGGGGCCCATCTCTGTGGCTCTCCTGGCAGCAGAATCTACTCACAGCAGCCTTTTCCACTGAGATCATGAAATGGGAATTGGCCTCTCCCCCTGCCCCTTCCCCAACCTCCCTCAGCCACCTATTCCTTGCCAACATGACTCAATCGAAAATGAAATGGGGGCTCTGGGCCTCAGTGGGCCTAGAGATAAGAGACCCACAGTCATTCCCCTCACTCTACCCCAAACCTTGCTCACCCTGCTTCAGTACTGCCCCAAACAGTGACGGCAACAAGTAAGTACTCCAAAACTTCCAAACCTCTCTTGCCTTGGGCCTAAATAAACTCCACACTCTTATTTTTTTTTTTTTTTTTTTGAGACAGAGTCTCACTCTGTTGCCATGGCTAGAGTGCCATGGCATCAGCCTAGCTCACAACAACCTGAACTTCTGAGCTCAAGCGATCCTTCTGCCTCAGCCTCCTGAGTAGCTGGAACTACAGGATGTGCCACCATGCCCTGCTAATTTTTTCTATATATTTTTAGGTGGACAATTAATTTATTTCTATTGTTTAGTAGAGATGGGGTCTCGCTGTTGCTCAGGCTGGTCTGGAACTCCTGACCAAGGTGCGAGCGATCCTCCCACCTTGGCCTCCCAGAGTGCTAGGATTATAGGCGTGAGCCATCGTGCCCGGCCCTCTGCACTCTTTAGTATGGCACTCAAGGCCACCGGGAGGCATCACAGCCTTCCTCTTGTCTTCCCAGGCTGTCTGGAAAACGAATCTGTTGGTGTTGTCTCTTACTGTCTCTACCTAAAGCCCCATACCCAACTGCCCAGATCAAAATCCTTTCTCCTTCAAGGCCTGGATACTGCACCTCCTTCTTCACAAGCCTTCCCCAGCCATCTCCTCTCCACTCAGGCAGTCCTGCCCCTCACTGGCCCCCACCTCTGCTCCCCCGCCCCCCTCCCCACCCTGCTGAATCAGAACCTTTGGGGTTGGCCTGGGAATATGCATGTTAGACAAGTTCCCAGTGATTCTGACACTAAAGTCTGAGAACTGACTGAGGCCTGCGCTCCACAGCACCAGCCCCATCACACCCCTGGACTGCTGAGGTTTCATACATCTTCCACCAGGCACCCGCCACCCACACACTCTGACTCCTCCCAGAAGCCTTCCCAGATCTCCCCAAGGCCCTACAGCACTTTCCAGGCACCCCTGCCTTGCAGTATAAGACCTATAATGGCAAACACTTGTGATCCCTTACCGTGGGCCAGGCCCCCTGAGTAGAGTCCTCCTCCCCATTTTGTCATTTAGTCCTGGCAGCAACCTTGTGAAGTGATTGTTATCTCATTTTAGAGATGAGGACACTGAGACCCAGAGACATTATGTAACACACCCACGATGACATAGCTGGTGAGTGACAGCTAGGACTGCCTGACTCTGAACTGTTGACTACTAGTTAACCAGTAGGCCTTATCAGTGCCTACTGTAAACACCATGAGAGCAAAGCATAAGTCACTCTTCTCTTCTTATCTTTGCCACAGATAACACAGAAAAAGTTATTGTTAGTTGGCCAAGTGTGCCAGAAAGTAGGTTAGTGATTGCCTAGGGCTGGGGAGGGCAGGAGATGAGGAGTGAGTACAGGGCTTCTTAGGGGAATGATAAAAATGTTCTAAACTTAGATCGTGGTGAAAGTTGCACAACTCTAGTGACTATTAAAAACACTACACTGTACACTGTAGATGGGTGAATTTTTATACTATATGAGTTACATGTCAAATTTATTTTAAAGTCCTTCAGGCACAATGGGAAGTGAGGTTTGGGGACTGCTGTTACCTAGGCATTTCTAGCCATGTTTCCAGACCCCACACTACGATTTGTATCATAAGCACTCAGGGTAACCAAGTCCCTTGAGATTGTCTTCCCACCAGTCACATGCAGAAGGACACTTCTGTTCATTTGTCCTACACCTGCCTCCAGGTTTTCAAGAAGTGTCTATCTGGTCCCAGGTGTGTGGTGGCTGCCTCTTGGGGCAGCTTGGCACCTGACCTCTTGGGTCTCTTTCCATGATAGCCTCTCTCATTTTATAGTCTCCCAGTTCTGTGACCCAATGCTCATACAATAATCCCCTAGATTGCCACTACAGGCCCCTGCTAAGGGGACAATATTGGAAAAGTATGGCAGAGGTAGTGGGCGAGAGGAGGCAGAGGGACTAACAGTCCTGCCTGGGATCCCCCCACCCAACCCTGTTCTCTGTCCCTGGGGCAGGCAGCTGGAGTTTACACTTCTCACCAGATGCCCCTGTTGTCCCTTACCCTGGAAACCCCCAGACACATGGACATAGGACACCATCCATCTGAAAGATGTTTAATGTATCTTAGGTTCAAGGTACAAAACACTGGAAAGTCACCTGCCACCCAGTCAGCCCCCTCCTCACCACTGCAGCTAGGCTTCCCAGCCTCCAGAGCAATGGAGCAGTGGCCCTGGGATACCTGGTTCCTTCCCTGCTTGGGGAATGTTGAGGTGGTGACATGGGAGCCCAGAGGCCACTGTGTCCCCTCCTCAGAAAACCCAGACCCAAGGATCAGAAAGGTCCAGATTTGGACCCAGAGCAGCAGATCCCCAGAGTGACCCTGACTAAGAAGCAGTTCTGAACTGGAACCTGGCCCAGCCCCCTGGCCTTGGTCCTGGGAAAGGGGAACTATTACCCCAATATCTGGCAGCAAAGGGAAAGGGCTAAGCAAGAAGTGGAGGCAGAGATTCCCACTGCCCTAAAAAAAATGAACTGTGGGTAACTAACCCAACAGGGCAGCAGAGCCCAAGGTTGGGGCCTGCCCTGCCTCCCACCCCAGTCCCTCTGAGGACCAGCCCCTCACTGAGCCTCACTGTCAGGACACTGTCCCTGAGCCAGTGCTGAGGTGGGGGTAGAAGGTAGGGAAGGCCAGTGTCCACTAAGGAATGATGCCCTTGCTTTGGGCGCAGGGACAGCTGCCTATGGTAACCCCAGAAAGGCCCACTGGGGAAGGGGCATCAGCTACCCAAATGTCTGGGCCTCAGCCCTAGAAGTCCCGGACTGGGTCCTGAGCCAGAGTAGGAGCCTTATTGACACAGAAGGTGGCAGGGGTTGGGAGCAGGGAGGGTGGTGAGAAGGGTCCCTATGAGGACCAGCTCAGGAGACCCCTCTGACCAGTCCCAAGAAAGCTCAGTTGCTACTTCAGTCCAGGCCCTGCTAGCCCCATGGCAAGCTGAACGGGCTCTTCTGCCCATTGCCCAGGGAGCATTTCCCACAGGGGCTCCACCTCCTGCTTCTCCCCGAGGCCCTGGGCTACAGCCGGCCACTTCTGTTGAACTGGATGCACCAGTGGGAGTTAGCAGTGCCCGGGCTAAGATGGGTGCGGTTCTTGTGGCCCATAAGGGGCTGCAGCTCCTGCTGCTGGGGGATGTCAGCACTGCTCTCACTGTGGGAGCGGCCAGCCTTGGCCAGGCTCGGGGGAAAGGCGAAGCTAGGGCATGGATCAGAAGGCAGGTGGAGAGGGACCTGGGGTTCTTCAGCACCCAGAGGGTGGGGAGGCAGGCGGGTCAGAGTTGGGGCCTGGGTGCAGGGAGGGGATGCCAGGCTCTCCAGGGATGACATGCTCTGGTTCCAGCCTGTCTGCATGTCCACAGGCACAATCTTCGTGGTTTCTGAAGACACGTACACTGCCAGGTCCCCATGGCCGCTCTTCCAGGGTAACTCCTTCTCTGCACAGGTTGGGGATGGGGGGATGATGCGTGGGCTTGGGCACACCTCAAGGCTTCCTGGGGACAGAGAGTACACAGGAGCTTGTTACCAATATAGTAGAACCCTTCTCAAATATAAGCACATTCTCATAAATAAACTCATTCCACAGTTGCCAGCCATATTACATCCATTTGTGCAATTATTTGATGCATAGCTTGCTGAGGGAAAACACTATAGCTGGTTTGCTCTCCTTTGTATCCCTAGCTCCTGGAACAGGACTGAGCACACAGTAGTTGTTCAAGAAGTATCTACTGAGGTCGGGCACAGTGGCTCATGCCTGTAATCCTAGCACTCTGGGAGGCCAAGGTGGGAGGATCGCTCAAGGTCAGGAGTTCGAGACCAGCCTGAGCAAGAATGAGACCCCTGTCTCTACTAAAAATAGAAAGAAATTAATGGCTACCTAAAAATATATAGAAAAAATTAGCTGGGCATGGTGGCACATGCCTGTAGTTCCAGCTACTCTGAAGCCTGAGGCAGGAGGATCGCTTGAACCCAGGAGTTTGAGGTTGCTGTGAGCTAGGCTGACGCCAGGCCACTCTAGCTGGGGCAACAGAGTGAGACTCTGTCTCAAAAAAAAAAAGAAGTATCTACTGAACACATGAAAATAACTAAACCAGGCCAGGCGCAGTGGCTCATGCCTGTTATCCTAGCACTCTGGGAGGCTGAGGCGGGTGGATTGCTCGAGGTCAGGAGTTTGAGACAAGTCTGAGCAAGAGTGAGACCCCATCTCTACTAAAAATAGAAAGAAATTAGTTGGACAACTAAAAATATATAGAAAAAAGTAGCCGGGCATGGTGGCACATGCCTGTAGTCCCAGCTACTCGGGAGGCTGAGGCAGTAGGATTGCTTGAGCCCAGGAGTTTGAGGTTGCTGTGAGCTAGGCTGATGCCACGACACTCACTCTAGCCCGGGCAACAAAGCGAGACTCTGTCTCAAAAAATAAATAAATAAATAAACCAAGAGAAAGCAGGAGCTAGTTAGGAAGGAAGCCCCATCTTCGATCTTCCTCCCCTAACTGTCTCAGAAACAGCATCCTGCCAAGCCCCATCCCAGCCAGCCAGCCAGCCAGGAACAGAAAAATCTGGAGGCTCCAGGCCAAAGGCTTTGCTGCTAGGCACACTGCCTGAGCACCCACCGCAGCCCTCTGGCAGGACAGCCCAGGAGTGTGAGCTCATGCAAACCTAACAGCAGGCCAAAGTTGTGCCACAAAGGGGATGACACAGTATGGGGGACAGGAGCTGAGAATCCCAGAACTGCTGTGGCAGAATTACCGGAAGTCTGAGGTTCTGAAAGAGGAAACCTGGGAAAGAGAAGCCCTTTGGCCACCTACCACCCCATCTCTCCAAAGTCAAGCACAATGATAAAGTCCTGAACAGTCCAATAAACTTCTTGGTTGAGTACCTTATGAAATGTATTGATGCTATGATTAAAAGTAAAACTGTATCTCTTGAAAGACCTGGAATATTCTAATTTAATAATAAAAAGCCTAAAACAAAAACCTTCCATGTTCACCTTTAGAGGATGCTCGGGAACTGGGGTCTGAAAACTGATAAATGAAAGAATCGGGCATTTATCCATTCTCTCCTGTATGAACTGTGTCTCAAAGTAACCAAATAATTGATGAGGAGATGTTTTTTATAGAAGAATTCCTGCTAATAAATGCAGGTGAAACAATAGATAAAGAATGTCATCATTGGAGGGAGGGGGGCATGGGCAATATAAGTAACCTTAACACTTGAACCCCCATAATACGCTAAAATAAAATTTTTTTTTATTTTTTTTATTTTTTTTTTTTCTTTTTTTTTCTTGACAGTCTCTGCTGGATAAAATAAAGTTTTTTAAAGAAAAGAAAGAATATCATCATTGTACAACCTCTAATGAAATTTTGATTCTGGCACTGATCATCAGTGGCTGTTGAGACTGTTTAAGGAAAAGCTGATGGGGCACTGGTAATGGTTGGCTCAGGGGAACATCTGAATCCAGTGAACAATGTACACCTCATGAGAAGAGAGACAACCAGATGGTATGTGTTTCCTGATGTGATGCAATAGGAAGTACACCATCACATATGAAGTGTTCTTAGCGAAAAATTAAAACTGAAACATGATCTTGATCTAATTGCCGGTTTAAAGGAAATATGGGGCCAGTCGCAGTGGCTCACGCCTGTAATCCTAGTACTCTGGGAGGCCAAGGCGGGAGAATCGCTTGAGGTCAGGAGTTCGAAACCAGCCTGAGCAAGAGTGAGACTCCGTCTCTACTATAAATAGAAAGAAATTAATTTTCCAACTAAAATATATAGAAAAAATTAGCCAGGCATGGTGGTGCATGCCTGTAGGCCCAGCTACTCGGGAGGCTGAGGCAGCAGGATTGCTTGCGCCCTGGAGTTTGAGGTTGCTGTGAGCTAGGCTGAGGTCATGGCACTGTAGCCCAAGCAACAGAGTGAGACTCTGTCTCAAAAAAGAAAAAAAAAAATTATCCAAAAACACACTTGAGCCGACCACCAGTGATATCTAATGTTGTGAGTGAATTAGGTCTCTACACATGTGGAAACACGTATATACTGTTTGTGTTTTTCCTTTTTCTTTTTCTTTTTTGAGACAGAGTCTCACATTGTTGCCCAGGCTAGAATGAGTGCCGTGTCGTCAGCCTAGCTCACAGCACCCTCAAACTCCTGGGCTCAAGCAACCCTACTGCTTCAGCCTCCCGAGTAGCTGGGACTACAGGCATGCCCCACCATGCCTGGCTAATTTTTTCTATATATTTTAGTTGGAAAATTAATTTCTTTCTATTTATAGTAGAGATGGGGTCTCACTCTTGCTCAGGCAGGTTTTGAACTCCTGACCTGGAGCGATTCTCTCGCCTTGGCCTCCCATAGTGCTAGGATTATAGATGTGAGCCATCACACCTGGCCTCCTTTTTCTTTTTTTAATATAATTTATTTATTTGTTTTATTTATTTTATTTTTTGAGACAGAGTCTTACTATGTCACCCCAGTTAGACGCAGCCAGCCTGTTTTTTGTTTTTTTGAGAGTGCAGCCTGCAATTCCTGGGCTCAAGCTATCCCCCTACCTAGGCCTCCTGAGTAGCTGGAACTACAGACCCACATCACCACACCCAGCTAATCTGTTTTTTGTAAAGATAGGATATCACTCTTGTTCAGGCTGGTCTCAAACTCCTGGCCTCAAGCAATCCCCCCACCTTGGCCTCCAGTGCTGGGATTATAGGCATGAAGCTCCATGCCCACCCAGTCCTATGCTAGTTTTTTATCCACAGTAAGTCCATGTTTGTGAATTCAGACTTCTCCCCCAGGTCAGGCTGCCACCCTCACCTGGGACTCTACCTGAGGGTAAGTGTGCTAAGCATGGGTTCCTCACCAGACTGTAAAGGGGGCAACATGGCAGTGAAAGGCTATGGGCTTTGGAGTCAGATGGGTCTGGTTCAAATTCTGGTTCTGGTTCTTGCTATGTGATGCTAGACAAGTTAAAAAGCCCCTTAGGCTCTATGAGCTCCATTTCCCCACCTTGGTTGTTTTTGGGTTGAATCAGATCACATATGTCAGGCATCTGGTATAAAGGAGGTACTCAGTAAATGCTGCTTGGTGAACAAACTAGTGGTGAGCAAACTAATGAATAGAAATAGGGAGTTGTCTGGAGTAGAGGCCATGAGTGAAGAGGAAGGAAACCAGCTTGCTCCAGAGAAGAGGGAGACATCGAAGAAGCCATTACCTGAGATCTTGCCCTCTTGGAGAACCTCACTGGTTGCCCGAGCCACAAAGATGATCCCCTCGTCGTCCTCCTTCTCAGTCTCTGAACTGTCACTCTCTTCTTCCTTGTCAGACTCCACAGTCAGTATCACAGCAGCTGGACAGAGACAAGAGTGGAGTTGAGCAACCAGCCCAGCAACTGCCTCCTGGTGCTGGCAGCCCCAAGGCAGCTCCCTGTCCCTTCAGGCAGAGCCCACATTGGTGGAGGCACCGGCTTTCTCCTCTGGCTGATTTGAGCACTGGCCTGGGGGTAGGGACTTGGGAGGATGGGACATGACAATGCAGAGCCCAAGGAGGCAACCAGAGGAAACTAAGTGCTCAGAGGGAGCCATGAGGATCTCAGTTTCCAGCTTCCCTATCCTCTTCTGTCAGCCCCAGATCACATGATCAACTGAAAACATGAGGATCCACAGTGCTGGAAGGCCCATCAATATCTAGCTCATACAAAACATTTTGCAGGCAAGATATTGGGCCCCAGGGTCCACCCATCTTTCAAAGCCCAGACCAAGCTCCTTCTCTATGACACCTTTCCAAGTCCTCAGGACCTGTAGCCCATAGTTAGCAACCGGACACCTCCTGCCACATATTGGCTAAGTGCTTTGAACATTTCCACTTGGAAGTCAAGTGTGCACATCTAGTCCCTGATGGTGCTGATGCACCCCCGGCCCCACCTCCAGCAGGTCCTCCAGGATGCTAGGCTCTTCCCCACCTCCCTCAGTCCCACCCCTGCTCCCTGCTTGCCTGTGTCCTGAAAGCCCAGGTGTCGAGGAGGTTTCCCATTTGTAGCCTCAGCATTAGCCACACCATCCTTCTAAAGACCAAGAAAGAAAACCTGAGCCTCTGGCCCTGGCTCCACACTCCCACCCTGTCATCTGATGGGGTTAACAGGAGGGCACGTTTTCCTACCCTAACAAGGGAGGGAATTTGTGTCACTCCCAATGGTTCTACCACACCTGTGCCAGCCAGGCAAGTATTGTAGAGTCTGAGTAACCCATGCATGGCCCAGCAAGGGCTCTGAGTGCATCAGCTTGGGCTGATTAGGGATGTCCTTTTGTCTTGCCTCTTTCTTCTCTGATAGGAGGCCCTGCTGTCTCCCAGCAGGTGACCACATGGCCAAGAGATTGCTCTCCCTCTGAAGGCCTCCCCTTACCCTGCTGTGGCTCTAGGAAGATCTAAAAGGGAACCCAAACTGCTTCAGTCACCAAGTCTCTGAGAACTATCCAACTAGGGGTCCCCCTAGACTGGATTCCAACACTTGGAGGCTCAACACTGTGTGCTGTCAGCCTCCAGCCCCAAAGAGGAGTCCCAGAGAAAGGACATGCCTTCCTGCGGCCAGTCTTGCGAAGTCGTGGCTTGCTCTTGGTGAAGCAGATGTTGTGCTTGGTGGACTTAAAGGACTCTAGCCGCCGCTTCATGTTCTGCTGGAAGATCTCCTTGTCCTGCCGCTCCTGTGCATCCTCTGAGATGAAGTGGCGGCTGCAGCTGGCTTTGTACTGGCAATGACAGCCCCGCCCCACCATGAGGCCAGGTGCCTTGGCCTCCCACAGGAACCCCAGGCCACAGCCCCAACATGTTCATCACAGGCCCTGCCAGCCCAGCATTTCCAGAATTAGCCATGGATTGAAAAACAAAAAATAAATAGGAACACATCCAGAGGCTTTGTATTCTCAGTTCCCTAGGGAAAAGCTTCCCTTTATCCCAGAACTTCTCCCAAACCTAGCCTTCCCCATTCCCTGCCACCCTTTCCCAATTCTCTCTGATTTCAAGGTAAGCCTCTGTCTTGTCCCCCAGGGCTACTATGAGACCATGGGGGACAATTCCTTCTTTGCACCTCCATTTATCTGAGCCTGGCTCACACACCTGGCCCGCCTGTCCCCTGCTAGCTACACAGGATCCTCCGTCTAGGTTCTCCATCTAGCTATTTCAACAACCACCACCATGACATCCCGAGCTGTGCTTTGGACTTTTAGAACTATCTCCCCTGACACCCTGTACCTTCTCGGTCCCAACAATTCAGGACCACCCCCATCATCTGCTGTTTTTAACTCTTTCTCATAAAGACAAAGCCCACTACCCACTCACCTAAACTGCCTCCATCTCTGCCAGGGGCTGCTTAGCAACCCTTCCATTATCTGGCAGTAATCCCCACAGTACTGCTCAGTGTGTTTCTTCTCTCTCTCTCTCTCTTTTTTTAATCTCAAGCTATGTCTGATGCTCAGTATGTTTCAGATCATCTGGTCTTGCTTCATCTCCCCAGTCTGGTCCCTTTACTTCACATGAGCTCCCTTCCAGTCTCCATTTGCCATCCTCCACCCACACACTAGGAGGTGCCCCTCTGCCCACCTCCTTCAAAGGGCCCACAACTCCCAGCCCCTCCTTCCTGCCTCCATCAGCTCCTGTTCCTTCCTATTTCTTTACTCTCCAAAGTCTGCACTCCTTCCCTCACCACTGGTCCTTCCCCTCTGCTTTCAAGCAAGCGTCTGCCCTTTTTTTTTTGAGACAGAGTCTCACTTTGTTGCCCAGGCTAGAGTGCCATGGTGTCAGCCTAGCTCATAGCAACCTCAAACTCCTGTGCTCAAGCAATCCTGCTGCCTCAGCCTCCGAGTAGCTGGGACTACAGGCATGTGCCACCATGCCCGGCTAATTTTTTCTCTATATATTAGTTGGCCAATTAATTTCTTTCTATTTATTGTAGAGACTGGGTCTCGCTCTTGCTCAGGCTGGTTTCGATCTCCTGACCTCGAGCAATACGCTCACCTTGGCCTCCCAGAGTGCTAGGATTACAGGCCACTGCGCTTGACCAAGCCTCTGGCCTTGACTCCTTGAAGACAGACTTTCCACTGACACCACCATCTCCCTTTTTATAATTTGATTCTGACACTTTCTCTCACACCCAGTACTTCCTTAAATACCAGAAATGCAATTCCAGGGTCTGTAACTCCACAGCCCTCCTTCTCCCTGGTCACCAGTGCTGTGGCCTCTGTCTAGGTGGCAGCCTGGCCTCTTTGCAGCATCCAGCCCTCCTTCCACCCCCCGCCTGAGGCACCATCTGCTACTGCTTCTGTAAAGGACTTCTCTGCTGGCTCCCTCTCTTTCTCCCACGTGCATTCCTCAAAGCCTTGGCCCCACATCTCCCTCTAAATGCTCTCCCCAAAGGACTTATCCATTCTCTTAACTTCAGCTATCCCAATGATATGGATCTATGGTCCCCAAACACCAGCCATCAGACCAGCTGCATGTGAGTCACCTGGGGATCTTAGTAAGAACACATATTCTCAACCTCATTCCACAGTACAGAGTCAGAATCTCCAGGAGGTGAAGCCAGAAATTTTGGACTCTAGCAAGTTACCTGGGAGATTCTGAGGTAGCCAGGTGAGGAAACCTCTGATATAGATTGTTTGTAAATCTTCCTCTCCAGCCCCTACCTCTCTCTTAAACTATAATCTTATCTTTCTAACTGCATAGTAGATACATCTCTCTCTCTCTCTCTCTAATGATATTTCTGTGAAGAACATGAAGAGTTATGAATTGTGTCATGGTACAACTAAGTGGATTCAGAACTGGTTGAGTAATCATACCCCAAAAATGCTTGATCCAAGTCAGTCTGGAGGAAAGTCTTTAGTAGCATGCCACAGGGCTCTGTCCTCAGCTCTATCCTGTTCAACATTTTTATGTTGATTTGGATGAATACAAAGTTAACAGGCTTAGCAAATTTTCAGATGATATGAATCTGGGGAGACATTTGGTGGCAAACATGGGATCCAAACAATGGAATGATAGGCTAAACCAAATAAGATGACATTTAACAGGATAAGCACAAACTTATTGCAGATTTTTAAAAAATTGACTACACATGAACTGATTGGACTAAACCCATTGACCAATCTTACAGACCCATACCCACACACACACACACACACACACAACCAACCATCTATTATGCACTTCCTGATGTGGCACAATAAGAAATACATAGCATACTTAATGAATGTCCCTGAATCTGATCAGGCCTCTAGATTTAATGATCAGGAAATACAGGGAATGGAGGAGTATGTTAAACACCACCACTGGAATACAATCAGTAAAATCTAGAAAATGGAAAATTTTCCAAGACAAAGTATCCAGTTTCTTCAACAAATAAATAGTAAGGGGGAAAAAAGGGAGGAGAAGGAACTATTATAGATTTTTATTAATGAAGAGACATATTTCCCAAATGCGAAGTGTCTTTATTCGAATCCTAATTTGAACATCCAGCTGGAAAAAGGTATTTATTGAACACTGACTGGATGTAAGAGTTCTTGCCACCTAAAGATACATACTATAAAATATTTAGAGATGATGTGATATGATACCTGGAGTTTGCTTTAAGATAAAGTGTGGGCATGGTATGTATGTAATTATAAATGTAACAATCATGCATTGATAATTATCAGAGCTGGGTGATAGATAAATTTGAGTTATTCTCTCTACTGAAATTTTGCCTAAGAAAAAAAGTTTTTAAAGGGACAGTATGGGGCCCCAGGATGGTGAGCCAAAGCTGGAGGGCTCCTGGGATGTGGAAAGAGAATGGCAAGTTCTAGAACTAGAAAGATGAGAAAGTCTCTCTGTCCTGCCCTGGCCAACCACAGCTAGAGTAGCACCTTACATTCTGGCCCCATTTCTTATGGCCAGAGAAGACACACCAGAGGCAGGAGAAGAAGCTGGCTTGAGGATAGGGGGGACTGTGTGGAAGGGAACTGTCTTAGAACCTTGGAAGATTTATTTTGCAGAGATGCAAAAAGTCAAATCAGGACCAGTGGGTGCAAATTAAAGGAAGCCGATTCTGTATCCACGGTAGACAGAGCCTTGACTGCTAAAACTGCCAGGAATACTAATGGCTGGCTTCCCATTTCAGAAAGGTTCAAGGTAATAGCTTGCTGCCCCCTTGTGGGATTAAAATAGCTTCTCTCCTGGATGGGCTGGGCCTTTCCAGGCATAAAGCTTCATGATAAGCATTGGACTAACTCCTACTGCTTAAAGAGATGCCTGCCTTCCTCAGGCTAAGCTGGTCCTGCATGCTTCCTTGGAGCTCATAGCATAGCTCCTTGGAGCTCTGTCTGGCACACTGCCATTCTCCAGGGACCCTCAAGGCCTCCTGTAATCTGTCTCCTTCTCTCCTCTTCAGGGCCAGTCCCCTAGGCCTATGTGCTCCTTTCCCTGCACACCACCGAGCTCTAATCTGCAGTGTGTCACTCCAGCTTTCCAACTGGCTCCTGGCCTCTCAATTCACACCCTCCAATTTGATCTGCACCCTGCTACCAGAGAAGGCATCCTTAAACATTACTCATACCAGGCCAACCCTTTCTCAAAAAAAAAAAAAAAGCAAAGATTTCTTATTATTGACGAGGTAAAACCCACACTTCTGCCAGGCAACACAGCTCTCCATGGGCTGCCTCTGGAGCCCCTGATCATGGCCTCCCCAGACCACCCTCCCCCCCTCAGAGCTTGTGCCTGCCTGCTCTCACCCTGCGGCGTGGCTTGTAGAGGCCTCCACAGAGCAGATGATGCATCACAGCATCCTCACGGTCCCGGCCGCTGCGTACTGTGTCAATCACCTGCAGATCCAGACACGCTCCACTGCCACTCTCCCTCCTGCAGGAGGCAGGGGACAGTGTGCTAGGCAGGAAGCAGGAGGCACAGGCCAGGGGAAGGACAGAAACAAAGGTGCTGACAAATCTTGCCCAATGATGGAGAGGGCCCAATGGAGAGGAGTTTGAGGAAGGGGAAGGGGCTCATGGACTCACAGCAAGTTGGTGACAGAAGTCTCTGCCACAGAATTACGGCTGGGCATAGAGGGCAGTGTAAGACCTGCAGAAGACAAGACGTGGCCACCCTGCGGGGGTCACGATCAAGGTCAGACAGCAATCAGATGAAGGGTAGCCCAGGCAGAGGGTAATAAAGAGAATAACAATAATTAACACTTATTTTGCTCTTTTGATGTGTCAGGTACTGTGCTAGGCACTTTGCATACCGAATCCACAAAACTCTGTCACATAGGTCTGCTTATTACTTCTTTCTTACAGCTGAGGGAACTGAGGCTCAGAGTATAAGTGACTTACCCAAGGTCACAAGCTTGGAATTGATAACAACTGCACCATGCCAGAGTCTAGCTGTTTCCCACCTTTCTGTACTGCCTGCCAGACTCTGAACATCAGCACCAGGCCCAGCTGGTTCCTGTAGCTGCCACTTCACAAGCCCATGTAGCCAGCTGGGAATTCCCAACTCCCCGCTCAGGGCCTACATGCCAGTCACTCCTCTCTGTCCCGCTCTGCTGGCCATCTGCCCACCCACCACTGGCCTACCTGGTAGCTGCCGGCCCACCTGGTCCACAAAGCTGATGGCATCCCGGATGTTGAGTCTGTAGTACACATCCCAGATCTCGTCCCGGATGCGGTAGGCTGACCGCCGCATCAGCAGCTGACTCAGGTACTTCTTGTCAAACTGCTCCCACCTATAGAGGATGCCAGGCCGGGCCCTGAGTACTATTATTCTCAAGGCCCAGCTGGCCGGCCCTTCCTCAGATGGGGCAGGGACACTACCAGCCCTTTCCTGGTATGGGCCTCAGCCAGGGAGAATCTCAAGTCTAGTCTCTGCCTTTATGGAATTTACAGTGTTATGGGAAAGCCTGACATTAATTGAAATTATTACAAATAACTATAAACTTGCAACCATGAAAAGAACTGCCAAGGATAACTATAGAATATGATAGGGACTTGTCCTCCTCATCAGGGAGGCCAGAGAAGGCCTCCCAGAGAAGGAATTGATGCCTACGGTGAGAGCTGAAGGATGACCAAAAGTTGAGTTAAATGAGAGGGAGGCAAGGGAGTGTTCTAGTGGAGAGAACATGTGCAAACGTCCTAGCAGTCAGGCTGGGGGAGCATGGTTGGTCCTGAGGCTCTAAAACAGGGTCCATGGAATTAGCAGGCAGACAGTCAAAGACAGAGCAGAGCACGCTGAGGCTGGAGTCTGGCAGGTGCCAGACCATGCAGGGCCAGGCAGGCCACATTGGGGACCCCTGTCTTATCCAGAGAGCACTGGGATGCCACTAAAGGGCTTTAGGCAGAGGTTACTCAGCCTGAACCTGGCTCTGTCCCTTCTCAGAAGTGTGGCACAGCTCTCATGCTGCCCTGGCTGGTGGGGCTGCTGCTGCTGAAGGAGCCTCGGGGCAGCTCCCTCACCTGTCCCTCCAGTAGTGGTAGCCATGGTGCCCCACAACGTCCTCCACTGCAGCCAGAATGTGGTCAAAAGTCTAGAAGGGGGGTGGGTAGGGGGACTGGATCAGGACTCTGCCCAAGATGGGAGAAGGGAGAGAGGGAGAGGTGGAGGGATGGGGTTCTGGTACCCACGTGCTCATGCAGCTCCTGGTTCAGGGTGGGTTTGTGATGCTCACTTCTCTTCACCTTCAGCCACTTGACCAGCGGCTTGATGGTCAAGCCCTATGGACAGGCAGGAGGTGAGCCCTGTCCTATTCAGTTCCCTGCTGCCATTTTCACCCCATAATTAGGCTTTAGCTTCTGCACTGCCACCCCGCTGCACTCAAGGTCTGGGACGTCAGGTCCCTGCATCCCCCAGTGGGAAGAGGAAGCCTGTCCCATAGGCTCCAAGAATCCCCTAGGGCCTGCCAGACCCTCTCCCCACCCAGCCTCATGGGCATTCCCACCTGCACGATGACTGTGAAGAAGACCACCACAATAGTGGTGGCCACAAAGTAGTCCTTGGCAGGGACCTTGGTCCTGTCCAGTAGGATGACGAGAGCAAAGGCCACAGCCCCCCGCAGGCCCCCATAGGACATCACCACCTGGTCAATCTTGTCCAGAGGGACCAGCCGGACCTGATTCAGCACCCACGTCTGCAGGACTACGCCTACAGCAGGAGGGAGGTCAGTGGGAGCAAGGCGTTGGGAGAGGAGGACATAGGAGTGGATGGCACCACGTACCTGGGCTAAGGTCTAATGGGGATAGGAGAGGTGAGCAACAGGAAAGGCTTAGGTATTGACAAGTATGTGGACTGAGATTGGGGAATGAGCTGCAGGGGCAAGGAAAGGGAGACAGGAAGAGAGTTGGAAAGCAGAGGGTGCCAGCAATACCGAGGGCTCGGAAGAACAGGATGAAGATGAGGGTGCCCAGCACCAGCCCAGAGTCCCAGGCCCACTTAGAAGAGTCTACAGCTGAGATGCCAAGCAGCATGAAGATGATGGTCTCAGCACAGCTGGCTAGAGTCTTCATTGTGTATTTGACAGCTGTACGTGACTTATGGGAGATGTTGGCCTCCACATACTTCTTACAGCCCAGGCCACACATGGTCACCCTGAGAGAAGGATGGAAACAGAGCAAGTGAGGAGGGGTCCCAGGGGGGCTCAGGCTCTGAGGTTTGAGCATGCTACAGGAGGGGGTATTGCCCATGACAGATGTTAAACTCTCAGAGTGAAGCCCAGGAAAGCATGAAATCTGCTATTAATAGTTAGTAGTGGTGCTGAGATAAGAGTCCAGATCTCCAGGCTTCCCCTCATGCCTCCTGGAAGGGAAGGTGGGAGAAACATGCTCTGATCAGTAGACTCTCTGAGGCACCTTTTGGAGGGCTGTGGCCACCGGACCTGGAAGTCTACTTCCAGCCCAGCCCACACCCCAGAGGGCACTTCAGGCAAAGGAAAATTGGGTTCTGGGGTACCCAGGAAAGTTCTGGAGGCAGCTCCTGAAATATTATCTGAAGTTTACTGTCTCCCCAGGGGAATCTGAGGCTCCTACTACCACAAGGGCTCAGGAAACCTATGGACGCCACAGAGTCCTGCTTCTGCCCATATGAAGGGCAATCATTTCCAGGCCCTCCTCCCAGCTATGTGCCCGCAAGACCCCCAGACTCACGCAAGAATGGCGGAGAGTGAGGCCATTTCAGCAGTGAGGTAGGCTGCATAGGCGAGGAGGAAGACCAGCAGCGGCTCGATGATGCGGACCCGCTTGGTGAAGCGTGTGGTCAGGGCCAGGAGGAAGGCAAAGACTAAGCCCACGGCTGCCCCGCCCAGACTGACCACAAACAGGGAGGCTGGGGGAGGAGTGGGTTATCAGCATGACCCCTGGCCCAGACCCTCCTGGGGCTGACAAGACTGCTGCCTGGCAGGGAGTGGAGGATGATGCCAACTGCACTCGCAGGGGCTCAGAACCCCAGAGCCAGGATCCCAGGGCAAGCCCCTCCCAGACCCCACTTCTCCATAGAGGAGGGGAGGAAAAGAGGCAACCCAGACAGCCTCCTCTGTCCTAATGTGGGATGGAAGGGGCTCAGCAATCCAACAGAGACAGACCTCTGATGCCAGCTGAGAGGGGGAAATACTGACCGACTCCCTTCAAGTAGTCAGTGGCCTGTACGTTGGCAGAGCCCATCTCCACAAAGGAGTTGCAGACCTTGTACAGCACCTGAGTGAGAAGAGGAGAGTCAGGAGCAAGGTGGGGAAGGCAGCAACTGGGACTTCTGGGAGACAATAAGAGCTGAGACTATATTTCTTCACCAGGTGACCCATGGGAAGAGTCTAAGTCGGCTCCAACACCCAAATTACCAAAGCATGCAGCCTGGGGACAGGGAGTGGCAACCAGCTGAGCATTCTCACCACAGTGACTGCATCGTTGAGCAGGGACTCGCCAAAGACGATGATAAAGAGAGTCTCATTGACGTGCACTTCCTCAAACACAGCCAGCACGGCCACAGGGTCCACGGCTGAGATGAGGCTCCCAAACAGCAGGAAGTCCAGGAAGCCAGCCTGCACCTTAGGGGCTATTGAAGGAGAGATGGAGGACAGGCCAGTAATTGGTGAAGATGGATGACATCGTCTCCTGCAGCACTCCCTGGGACCAGCTCCGGCTCCACCCCCACTGATAAAACAAGGACACCCAAGGAGGACTTCCGTATGGTAAAGAGAGCACTGGCTATGAGCCAAGCTGCCTATGCCTAAGGCCTGGCTGGGCCACTTACCACTTGTGTGATGTTGGCTCTGTCATTGTCACATGACTTCTCTTAGCCATGCCTCCTCATCTGCCTACCCTACAAGATTGCTGCAAAAATCAACCCAGCCATTTAGAAAAGATAAAACAACCCAGGAGATGGCTAACAAAGCTCTATGTGACCTGAAAGACTAAAGTGGCACAAGTATTAATAATAAAACCTGTAGGAACAGTAATCACAACTACCAGCAGGAGGAAAACTGCCTGCTAACTAGCTTTTATTAGGGAAAATAACAAAGGAATGTGCTTTCTCTCACATGTGTGGTTCCCAGCCAAACGTATGTGACACAATTCTCTGAACAGAGTATGAAAAGCACCACAAGGTGGGACTTGAACATGTCATATAATACATATAATGACACATTCGATACATAGATATAATGGCATGTTCAAGTCTGTGAGCCTCAGTTTCCCCATGTATACATTGAGAATAATAATATCTACTTCAAAAATGTCTTTATTTAGCCAGTGCCTCATACATAATAAGCACCCAAAAGATACTACCTATTATTAGGATTACTACTAGTATTATGATCTGATGTCCTCCCTTCCCTTTCTGCTACAAATAGTTCACTATCTCAATAGGGAAACCAGGATGGAGTCCCCCGGTAAGAATTGCAAACCTCTCCTTGTACCTTGGAAAAAGTCTGAATTATCAACATTCAGGGTTAAATGGATTTCTTGGGTCAGGAAATTCAGAAGGTAGCAAGAGGCTGGGCGTGGTGGCTCATGCCTATAATCCTAGCACTCTGGAAGGCCGAGGCGGGTGGATCGTTTGAGCTCAGGAGTTTGAGACCAGCCTGAGCAAAAGCAAGACCCACTCTCTACTAAAAAAATAGAAAGAAATTAGCTGGAAAACTAAAAATATATAGAAAAAATTAGCCAGACATGGTGGTACATGACTGTAGTCCCAGCTACTTGGGAGGCTGGGGCAGGAGGATTGCTTGAGCCCAGGAGTTTGAGGTTGCTATGAGCCAGGCTGATGCCACGGCACTCTAGCCCGGGCAACAGAGTGAGATTCTGTCTCAAAAAAATATATAATAAATAAATAAAAAGAAGGTAGCAAGAGAGGGCAGCCTAACAGCAAAGAGCCTCAGTAAAAAGGACCTCTCCTGCTAACCTTGGACCTGATAGCAAACAAATGTAAGGAGCTGTATTTCCTCAACCACTTAATGGAACGAATTATACCCTCAATATGGTTGCTCTGAAGAGTCAGTGGGATAAATAAGGAGAGAACACCCAGTGTAGTGTCAGTATTTGTGGATGTGTAATATGTATTTATTAAAAATTATAATAAAAACAGGAAATCACCCTGGCATGGCCTGGGCAGAGCCAGGATGGTGGGCCATTGTAGGAATAGAGAGCAGTGCCTCAAGGGAGCAGGGCTGGCAAGTGGCAGTGTGGTAACAGAGGGCAGGATGCAACAGAGTGGTAACACAGGCGTGGCAGCCCACGCACAGCTGGGAGCCAGGCTCCTGCTCAGCTGTCATGTTGCAGATGCCCAGACTCGATTGGCAGCCACCTAAATGAGGGCTGAAGCCCATCGGCATGTTGCCTTGCACTCCAGGTGGGAGAGATGGAGCTCACAGTGCATAGCTCTCGCCAGCATGAGACCTCTAGAGTTAGAGGAGAGGGGAGTGGGGTGATGGGTTTGGGAAAGCCTCCCTCTGCCAAGCCAGGTCTTAGGGTCACTCACCCACAAGTCCAGCCTGCTGTAGGCCCCAGAGGGCAGCGCCTGTTGTGAAGGCATTCCAGAGTGTGCCCACCACAGCATAGGTGAGGATGGCACCCAAGTTGTCAAAGAACAGCCGGCTAGGCATGAAATAGCCTGAGTCCAGCACGATAGGAGGCAGCAGGAAGAGGAAGAAGGTGCCTGGCTCCAGCTGGTACTCAGCTTTCTTGGCCACAGCCAACACAATGCCCCCCAGCACCAGGCCCAGCAAAATCAGCAAGCAGCTCTCAGGGACCAGAGACGTTACTTTCCGAGACAGATGAAACACTACAATGCAAAAAGAGGGCAGGAGACATCAGCTTACGGGATGCCCTCCCACACACTGGCCTATAACCCCCAGTCTTAAAAGGTTACCTAAGGTCAGGATCCTTGACCCTTCTAGAATCTCTAATCTTCAGGGCTGCAAACCCTTCCCTGCAGCCAAAGCTGTCATTTTTTTGGTGTTCCTGTCATCATGCCAGGGCAACCTAGGCCTTTGCTTGCTTTTCCCCTTTCTAGAAATGCCCCCTCCTTGCTACTCTCAGCCTCAGGGACCTCACCTTTCTCCATAGCCATTGTTTAAACCTGAGCAAATGCTACCCAGTATCTTTTTATGCACAATATAGCTGTAAAAATCAGGTCATCTGGATTCAGGCTGCTTAGCTTCAAAGCCTAAGGCCTCCATTTCCCAGTCCTATGATCTTGGAGCAAATAACTTCACCTATCTGACCTTCAGTTTTCTTATCAGCAAAATGGGAGTAAAAACAATAATGACCTCATAGGATTGTTGTAAGTATTAGAAAAGACAATCTACTCAAAGGCACTTAGCATACTGCTTTATAGTAAGCACCCAAGAAATGTTACCTATCGTTATATTAATATTATGATGTCTTGCCTTTCTAACTAGAACATAATGCATATTATAGCTCCTAGGAGCATTGTAGACCTCCTAGCCCAATGCACTTTTCATTATATAGGTTCACTCAGGACTCTGTAGTTTAAAAAACTTTGGGGACTGAGCATGGTGGGTCACACCTATGGTCCTAGCACTTTGGGAGGCCAAGGCAGGAGTATAATTTGAGGCCACATTGTTTGAGGCCAAGAGGCCTGAGCAACACAGCAACACCCTGATGCTACAAAAAAATTTTAAAACTTAACTGTGTATGGTAGTACATGCCTATAGTTCCAGCTACTAGGGAGGCTGAGGTGGGAGGATCACTTGAGCCCAGAAGCTTGAGATTACAGTGAGCTATGATTGCGCCACTGTACTCCAGTCTGGGTGACAGAGTGAGACCCTGACTCTAAAATAAATGAATAAATAAATAATAAAAAAATTAAAAACTCTGGGTTCAGCAGTCAGAAGATCTTCAAGTCTTCTTCCAGCCTTAGCATGTCTAACTATGTGATATCAGGCAACTTATCTAACTTACCTTGAAGTAAGTAATTGAACTTCAATTTCTTTTTTTATTTATTTATTTTTATTTATTTATTTATTTTGAGACAGTATCGCTTTGTTGCTCAGGCTAGAGTGAGTGCCGTGGCGTCAGCCTAGCTCACAGCAACCTCAAACTCCTGGGCTCAAGCCATCCTACTGCCTCAGCCTTCCGAGTAGCTGGGACTACAGGCATGCGCCACCATGCCTGGCTAATTTTTTCTATATATATTAGTTGGCCAATTAATTTCTATTTATAGTAGAGATGGGGTCTCGCTCAGGCTGGTTTCAACTCCTGACCTCCAGCAATCCACCCGCCTCAGCCTCCCAGAGTGCTAGGATTACAGGCGTGAGCCATGGCACCCGGCCTGAACTTCAATTTCTTCTCCTAAAAAATATATCCATCGCAAAGGATGAGGATAAAATGATATGAAGTGTGTAAATATGCCCAGTCACATATGTCAGTCACATGTGTCACATGTGTCAGTCACATAGTAAGTTCTTTTCCTAGAGACAGAACAGTTTAATCTGTCTCTAGGAAAAGAAGGGGTTAAGAAAAGGGTTTCCAGCACTATTGCATTTCCTGCTTTTGTCCCCTAAAATAAATTCTCTTGGCTCTCCTTTGGGCCCTCAGACTAGAAGTGGACACCTCTCTCCCTCCACAATCCTTAGGGTACTGGTGGAGGAGACCTCCATGTTATCCTGGTGAGACCCTATGCAAAGATAGTGCTCTTTGGAAGCTGGCCCCAGAGGGCCTAGGATCCTAGTCTTAGCACATAGTGGGCTCTACGTAAATATTTGTGGAATAAAAGGGAGAAAACTTCCTAGCAATGAAGTTAGGGGAAAGTATTCCTGAATGTTCTGCCTATCTTTTTCCCCTTTGCTGCGAATATTTTTGGCTGGTAAGGAGGCTCTCTTCTCCTACCTCCATAGGAGATGCTATCCAAACTAGGAAAAGCACCAAGATTTATTGAAGAGAACTACGGTTGTTGCTATAAACCCTAAGACAGGAACCCTTCTGTAATTCACAGACTTCTCAGCAAACTCAAGTCTTGGCTCCAAATCTGGGGCTCCTCCCCATCTTACTCTCATGCTGCTGAGCTTCTAGGGCAAGCTCAATCATAGATGTCTCCATACTCATCCCTACTTTGGGTCCCCCTACTAATTTTTTTTTTTTTTGAGACAGAGTCTCACTTTATTGCCCAGGATAGAGTGAGTACCATGGCATGAGCTTATCTCACAGCAACCTCAAACTCCCAGGCTCAAGCAATCCTTCTGCCTCAGCCTCCTGAGTAGCTGGGACTACAGGCATGTGACACCATGACCAACTAATTTTTTCTGTATATATTAGTTGGCCAATTAATTTCTTTCTATTTATAGTAGAGATGGGGTCTTGCTCTTGCTCAGCCTGGTTTTGAACTCCTGACCTCGAGCAATCTGCCTGCCTCAGCCTCCCAGAGTGCTAGGATTACAGGTGTGAGCCACCTCGCCCGGCCTGGTCCCCCTCCTATTTCATCTTCATCTCATGCACCAACCCAGCCCTGCAATCCAAGACCCATCACAAAAGCCCTTGTCTGGCAGAACCAGGCTCCCTGAAGGCATTTGAGTCCTGCTTTCCATTATTAATACCCAGCTGTCACAGCATAGTGGAGAGTTCTTCAGCTCCTGCCCAACCCCCCACCCCCCAGAGCATCCCTGGGGGAGAAGAGGACAAAGTCTAGGCTGTGTGATTCCTACATGAAGGCTGTATTGGTGAGACTGGAGTACAGACTGTGCCAACATAGATGGGGAGTGAGTAGCAACGCTCAGCTATAATTAGTCAACCCCACAGCGGAGCCTGCACAACAGGGAGAAGGAGGAGGAGGGTCTCGGGTGGAGGATGGACCACTGGCTGCTCAGCAGGGAGGAGGAAGGAACAGAAGCAGGGAAAAGCAGCTCTATTCAGGGAAAAAGCAGTCTGAAGCACAACCTTCAATGCTGTGAGGACTGAAGGAGGTCGGATATATGAAAACACCTCTGGTAGGCAACACAGTCAGCACTCCCCCCCCCATAAATGGAAGTTCCTTATACACTGAAATGAGAAGAATATGAACTTGAATGGGGAGGGGGCTCCCACACCTAGGTGCAAGAAGGCAGCATCTTTAAGTGGGGAGCAGAGGAGAGCTAGAGGGAAAGTGGCAGTTTAGTATGCCACCCAAGAGAATGGACACTTGACCTGGTCTCCAGGGAAGGCTGCTTCTTCAGGACCAGGATGCCTGGGTTCTCCAGAGAATACAATCACCTCAATATCCCCCCCACCCCCAGCGTGCTCACCACTAACAGAGGTTTCTGAGAGGCTGGGGACTGGTGGGGGAGAGATCAGACGAGGAGGGCTTACTGCAAGTGGAAGAGGGGAGCAGAGAGGGCAAAGGAGCCTAAAGATGGAGGTGGGAAGAGCTCAGGCAGCCCTCTAGCTAGGCAAATCCTCAGGACTCCCACAGGAGACCCGGAGGAGGGAGAGCTACAAGAGAGGGCGGCGGCGTAGGAACTGAGCGAGAGCCCGGATTTGTCGAATGGGAACCTAAGTCCCAGCACTGTGCAAGAAGCCACCTGGATGTGGGGACCCGGTTGTTGGGGGCGGGTCCGCTACTGGCCGCCGGCCTGGCACACGCACACACGCACTCACCGATTTTGGCCAGGCTGGCCACCAGGATCCACAGGGCTACCAGGTAGGGCGCCTCGACCTCATGCCACTGCCAGCGGAAAAGCACCAAGCCTGGGGGAAGTTCGCCCGGGGACCCCGGCTTCTGGGGGGGCTCTTCGGCCGCCCCCGCCAGGGGCAGCGCGAGCAGGGGCAGTGCAGCACGCAGCATCCTGCCGCCCGCCCAGCCGCCCTCCCGGCTCAGCACCGCCGCCGGCCCAGCGTCGCCGTCGCCGCCGCCGCCTACCGGGCGCCCCCGCGTCACAGGCACGTGGGGCTCGCTCCCCCCAATCCGGGCTCCGATACCTACAAGCCAGGTTCGGACTCCGAGATTCTGTCCCGGACGCCCGTAGTCCAGACCCTTCCTCCTTCCCCCCAAACCTGTCCCAGCTCCGGAAATTTCCCGGTGCAGCCGTACCCCAAGTCCCGCAATCTACTCCTTCCAGTCAGCTCCCGCAAAACCGCCCCCACCGGATTCAGAGAGGTGAGCGGCCTCGGCTGTCCCCCGCAGCCCACCGCGGGAGGGGCCGGGGTCCGCTGCGGGGCGCGGCTCCCTCACTGTCAGTGCCCCCCGGCGGTTTGCAGCTCGCCCCGAATGCCAAGGCGGCGGGCCCAGCGCAGCCGGGTGCAGACGCCAGGGGGCAGTGCTCGGCCGCCTTCCGCGCCGCCCTCTCACTACTAGGACCCCCCATAGGCCCCCTCCAGGGCCAGAGCTGCGCACGCGCATGGCGCTCCCATAAAGCCGTGGTGGACACCACTGCTCCCAACGTCGCCAGAAACCCCAAGACCCAAACTGAGCTCACTCATTCCAGGCGGAAAACGAGGCTGTTCCTCTTCATCTCCCAAATTGAGGGGCATCCGGCCCTCCCTTTCCCTCACATACAGAGAACGATTCTCACCTTTTCCATAAAGCTGAAGGGAACCTATGGAAAACTCAGCCTATTGATTCTCTTCAAATTAGGCAGGTTCCACCCAACTTTTTCCCCAAATCTGAGAGGCATTCAGCTTATCTCGCCCCAAACAGAGAAAAATAATCTCCACTTTTCATTCAAACTGAGGGGCACCCATCCCACTTCTTCCCCCAAACTGAGGGGAACATGTTCTACCTGCCCCCTCAAGCTGACTCATGCCATTCTTTGCATCCGTCGCTCTTCTTCCCACAACTAAAGGGAACTGATCCCACCTCTTCAAACTGGGTGAAAGCTATTCTCACTTTTCGCCCCAACTGAAAGGAACCCTTTTCACCGCTTTCCCCAAATGAAGGAAACACTCACTCATCCTTCAAACCGTAGGAATTAGGGCTATCTTATCTCTAAACTGAGAGAGACCTGGCCGACCACTAACTAAAGAAACTTCGGGGGCCCCCCAGCCCTAACACTCCCTCAAAGATAACTCAGCCTCCCCGACCCAAACTCAAAAGAAAGCCTCCCCGTGGGGAAGGCGGGGCGCGAGCTCGGGTTTTCCCGCACTCCTAGCCAGTGAACTAACGGGATTCCCACTGGGCCCTCTGAGTGGCTCGCGCAAGCCCCGCCTTCGGCGGTAACCTCCACGCGTGCATTCGGGGACTAATCTTGGCTCCACCCCCTTCCTCGGCCCCGCCTCCGTCTAGCTCTGCTCCTCCACCTAGTCCGGCCAGGCCCGGGCAAACAGCAGAGCTTCAGTGTAGTTGAGTAGAAGCTGCAGCCGGGCCGGGACCCAGAGGCGCGCGGCACAAGCCGGTGGCAGAGCCATGGCGGGCGAGGAAGACCGCGGGGACGGGGAGCCGCTATCAGTGGTGACCGTGAGAGTGCAGTACCTGGAAGACACCGACCCCTTCGCATGTGCCAACTTCCCGGAACCGCGTCGGGCCCCCACCTGCAGCCTGGACGGGGCGCTGCCCCTGGGTGCACAGATTCCCGCGCTGCACCGCCTGCTGGGGGCGCCGCTCAAGGTGAGAGGGGCTGGAGAAAGGTTGGGGCGATTGGGGGTTCAGGGTCGGCACCATGAAAGCCGGTAGAGGGTACCCCTTGGGGAGAGGCTGGAGCGGGTGCTCTGCTTTCCTGCGGCAAAGTCTTGGGCCAGGGTCTCAGCGTCCACGGGGCCTTGCCAGCAGGGGGCCCCCTCTCAAGTTGAAGGGAAACTGAAGAGGAGTGATAGAAGCTTATGATCTGCGCCACCCTGGCTGCCCCTCGAAGTGAGGCCCAGCTGGGGAGGTGCTCGGGGTCCACTCGCCGCCCGTCTGCCAGGGTAGCTGCCTTGGGCAGGATGACCAGAGCTATTCGGGCTGTAGCGGACCCTGGAGGTGGAGCTGAGGAGGGACCAGCTTCCACCTGCTTCAGGTGAGCTGAGGGCGGGGCCACGAGGAGGGGCGGATCCGGGGCGGGCCACTAGAGACGGCCAAGGTTTCCAGCGGTGGCTGGAAGCTAGATTGGGTCCTGCCTGATACTGTTGCCCCTGCAGGTGGGGCCTCGGCCGGGGAGTGCCGGCTGAGGAGACTTCACCGGGTGAGGGGAGTCCCGGGAAGCGGCCTGGCGCGGGATACGCCGAGCGCGGGAGGCTGCACGAATGGAAAAGCCCTTTGAGTCACCGTCCCCACCACCCCGTACACCCGCCGCCCGTCGGCCCGCGCCTGGAAGTGAGAGGGAGGGCCCGGCTAATTTTAAACCGCCGGTCTGCCCTAGTTTGCCGCCGCCCCGAAGCAGACTTGTGCACAGTGCAGGAAAAGGCCCTTTTCCAGATGGCCGGCCCTACCTCCTCTTCCCTCCCGCTCGCCGCCCTCAGCCCCCCGCAAGCAGCCCTTTCCGGCGCTCTGTTTCCGGGCCAGGACTGTGGGAGGCGCACTGCCACCCACCACCCACCCCCGGGGCTCCCCGCCAGCCAGCCAGTCAGCTCCTAGTGGTGGGGATAAGGAGAGAGAGTGGATGGGGGTGCCCGCCCCTGTTCCCAACCTCAGCTGGTGCCGAGTTGCGCAAACTTGCCCCCTGGGCCCGGGGTCTCCCCTGGAATGTGCCCCGAGCGCCAGGCCCCCAGCCTGCATTCCTCGCGCTGCAGCCAGCCCCGCCTCCAAGCCCTGGCGGGAGGGGGTGATGAGACTATTGGCCTGGGGAGTGGCGCGTGTCCGGGCAGAACCCTGGCTTCAAGGCCAGGGCTGGAAGCCTGCAGCACAATTGCTCACCTCCAGAGTTTTGGGGCAGCCCCCGCTTGTACTATACTAGTCAGAGGGGCACACAAAGGTGGGCCTGGAAGAAGCGGGTGCAACTGGAAGCCACCTCCCATTCAGGATGGGGGACCGAGAGAAAGGAATGCTGAGCTGAAGCGGATTCCCCGCTTCCAGCCTCCTGGAACTCCTGGTCCTGAAGAGTAAGGGTGTAGCACTAGAGAGAAGATAGTATTCTTCCCATCCTGCCACTCTAGGACTGGACCTAGGCCTTATACCCCTCTTCACAACTGGTGGCAAGCCTGGGAGATCAAATGCAAGAAAGAAGCTCAGAACCATCCCCTCTCCCTCTCATTTAAGGACCCATCTCCCTATCCCACCCACCAGATACTCTGCCCTCTGTTCTCTGCTCTCTAGTTGAGGACGCTACTGAGCTCAGTGGAGAATGTAACTCCCCCCCCCAACTCAGTCCTTCCTGGTCTCCCACTTGTCATATTCTCCCACCTGGAGTACCACACGACTGCCTCCCCTCCCCCACAGGGATATGGGAGCAGGGCACACTAGGTTACCACAGCCCTTGGAGCCAGGACTCCCTGGGGCTGGCAGCTCTGCCAGGAATGGTCAGATGCACTGTGATGTGCTCTTCCCAAATATAAACTGTGACCACAGCCCCAGAATAGAAGGCTGGAGGAAGAGGGGCTGAGAATAGGGCAGGGGCAGGACATCAGAGAGCAGAGGGAGGGGGAACAGGGCCCCTCCTTGCAGGAAATGTCAACAGATGGTTCCTCCCCAGGTCCTATAAGTGAGTGCCCCTGAGACAGATATGACTCAGGCCTGCCTGGTTAGCCCTCTAGAGGGGAGAGGTGGTCCAGAACTCCAGGCATCCCTGTCCCAAGCTGTAGGGCAGAAGAGGAAGGGGTTCTCTACTCACTGTTTCATCCTATGCACAGTTATCCAGCAGTGGACAGGACACAGCCAAGTGGCCTCTGCCCTCCTTCTCTGGGCTGGCCCCCATCATCCCTACAGACCCTGCCCCCTCCTTGGGGATGTACAGAGGCCAGCCTACTTTCCCACTGGGGCTCCACCCACACAACCCTTTGGGCTCGGCCTAGTCCTTAGAGTTCCCCTGGGGGCTTCCTTTTTAAAGAGCTTTCAGGTCTGAGAAAGCCTTGCTCATTTCCTCCAAGTCTAGGAGGAAGCTCCTGGCCACAGTATGTGACTCATCTCCTGGCCCTGCTTGGTTAGGGGGAGCCTGGCAGTATGATGGGCCAAACCTAGTGTCCCCAGAGGAACTCAGGAGTATCTTCCCCCCTCTATACAAGAGGCTTTCCCAACCCGGGCACCTGCCCTTGCCCCACAGGAGAATGTGTCCCTCTCTCCCCCATTTCATCTCCTAATCCAGAGCTACCCGGTTCCACCCTCCCTCCTAGAAAGTGCCTCAGGAGCTTCTCCCTGAGATCCAATGGCCCTGCCATGTCTGGGATAGCAGTGACTTCTGTGCACTTCCCTGTGCTCTGGGCAGAGGGACCTGGGGTGCTTCATTGACCCTACTGCACAGACCAAAGGAGCCCCTTCCTCCTGGCAGCAGGGATAGCCCTAGAAACTTGGTTATTACTGGCAACCTTGTTTTCCTAGCTGTGGCTAAAGATCAGAGTAGGGCAGGGGTGGCACTGTCCCAGAATGTTTCCTGACCCTACCCCAACACTCTATCCTCTGTTTACCCCTTAGGAGCCCTTGTGGCAAGGGGGCTTAAGGGCAAACCTGACCTGTTAGGATAGGAGCCAATTGAAGGGGTCCCTAAGGATTCTTAAAGGGACAGTAGGGTTCTCTGATGATGAATTAAGCTCATTAGCTCCTCGATATGGGAGTCTCTTTGGGAGACTGTAGAAGATTGGGAATTGGGCATAAATTGCGACCTCCTCCCAGCCTTCCCTGGGGCCAGCTTGTCTGCTAGTCATTCTGGGTTAGAATAGCTGAGCTGCAGCCTAGCAGGGACCCTAGGACCTAGGTCCTGGCAGAGATAGGCATTGTTACCTCAGTATATATAGGAAGGGGGTTGGGGGGGTGCTTTTTCTCATTCCCTTGCTGGAACTGGGAGGACCAGTTTGGGGTATTTGCGGAGTCCAGAAAGCTGAGGGTTGATCTCCAGCCCTTGGCAGTCCTGCAGGCCCCAGGTCTCACTCTACCTCCCCTCTAGGGTTCCCTGGAGCACTTCCAAGGCCCAGCCACCCAAGGTCTGGGTTAGTTAGCTGTGGTTCTGTTCTTGGCTTTATAGCCTGGGGCAATTCACTGAATTTCTGATTCTTGGTTTCCTCACCTATAAAAGGATTATCAAATGAAATAGGCAGCACTGAGCCTGGCTGAGAGGAGGCATAACAAATGTGGATTTCCCTCCCCAATGCCCATCCATGTCATCTCATCCAGGAAGTTGCAGTCTAGTTGGAGACCCATGATAACAGGCAAGGAAGGTCTTCAGAACACAGGGTTCTGTGTTTATAAGAAAGGAGACAAAAGAGGCAGTTAAACAATTATTTTATAAAACAAAAATCCTTCAGCATGTAATTCTGCCTCTTTTCCATCTTTCTTGTATCCTGCCCCTGGCATGTTCATTCTCACCTGATTACACTGCTATAAAAAATATTGGGAAGTAGACACCATGGTCCCCTAAGCTTGACCCTACATATAAAACCATAAGTAACCACTTGGTTTGGAGCTGCCAGGAAAGCCTGAGCCTGGAGAGTCAAGAGAAAAGTGAGCCAGAGGCCGAAGCGAGGGACAGCCTGGAAAGAATGGGGGAGGGATAGACTAGAGAAGTGAGGAAGACAAGAGCCGGGAAGCAGTCAAGGATATGGGCCCATACTATGTGCTGTCCCTAGGCACTGTCAGCAGGGACCAGGGTTTGGGCTTACTCAGGCCTGGCCCAGTCCCAGGGTGTGAGAAACAAGGCCCAGAGGTTTGGCTTTCAGAATGGTGACCTAAGGAAGGGGCCAGGAGTGTGAGGGACGAGCACCATCTTGCCGGCAGGAAGTCTCCCTCCCCACTCTCCTAGCCTATCCCCCACCCCCAACCCTGACCTCCACCCAGGACAGACAGCTGGGGGTGGGGGACATTGTCCTGAAGGCATTGAATTGGCTGTTACCCCTGGACCTCCTGCCCAGAAATGGGGCCCTGACAGGATTGGACAGGTGAAGTGGCTAGAGGGCCCACTGCCACCACCACAGCGGTAGAGGGTTAAACTTGCTCAGCTAAGGAGGTGAGGAAAGTGGACCATTTAGCCTTCAGGACACTGCCCCAAATGGATGTAGGCACCTAGGTGTCCTGGAAGGAGAGAGCTGTTCTCTGTTTGGGACTGAGTGTGCAAGTGCTCACGCAGGAAGGGAGGACAGTGTGGGGGGCCTGGCCCTTCTGTGGCTGTGCTGCTTTGGCCTGTGTCTGTGTCGGCCATGAGCACAGACCTGGCCATGTCCCTAGGTGTGTAAGCAGTTACAAGGTGCAATACAATCACCTCTCCCGTGTTTACCTTTACGGCATTCTGCCACTTCCCTTTCTTAGCACCCGTGGAAGTTGTGATTCGATATTTATTTGTAAGCTTTTTCTGAGCCAAGCCTGTCTGTCTCTCCCACTGGGCTGGAAGGAAGGGAAAGCACAGACAGTGTCTGGTTTCTGCTAAGTCCTCTGCACCTAAAACCAGCCTGGTTTGTGAACGTTCGAATGAATGAGCTGTTCTTTATGTGTGTGATGTGGGGGATCCCTGAGGGGGATTGGGGCTCTGAAGGGCGTTTGTTCCTTTAGGATCCCAGAATCCTCCAGTCTAAACTGGAGGGAGATGTGGCTGTGCCTGGATGGGGGTGGGGTGGATAGGCTGCTGAGTCACCGTGTGGGAAGAGGGACCAGGAGGAACGTGGGGCTACCCTCAGCTGAGCTGACCCTGGATGAGATACCCCGGCCCTAAGGCTTTTCCACTCCCTCTCAGGCCTGTTCCCAGTAGGCCCTGGAGAAGATGACTCTGCTCCCAGGGAGGGGTGAGAGGCCAGGCTCGCTAAGGCACCCAAGAGAGGGCAGGCAGCCAGACAGGAAGTGGGACAGAACAGGCTGGAGTGTTTGTCCTGTGTCCTATGTCCCAGGCGGGGGGGGGGCCACCAAAGAGCCCACAGGCTGAACTGCCAGGAAGGAACCAGGTCAGGCTCCGAGGCATGAGCAGGGGTGCTAAACAGAGGCAAGGGCAGAAGCTAGACTCCCCATCCCCCAGGGGACCCAGGGCAGCTGGAAGCCCCTGGGCTGGGTCCAGAGCAGGGCAGGGCTGACCAAAGAGCAGGACAAATGTTGGGGTTGACTTGCCCAGGAAGATGGAGACCAGAAGACCCCTAGCCTCTCCAGAGGTGGGTTCTCCCTTGGCCCAGGAACTACCTCAAGGGCCAAAGCCACTCAAGTAGAGGGGACTTTGCTGAGCCCACATGCCTGCACAGCTATGGGGGAGGTGTCCCAGAGAGGCAGACAGAGTGACGCTCTCAGACTCACTGGAGTCACCTCACTTAGGCCCTCTCTAGAGGTACTTCTTAAGGGGCCAAGTACCCTGCCTGGCATGGAGGGGGGGAGGACAGACAGGCTCAGGCGGGAGGGAAACATGGGGAGTGGACACATAGATGGAACACATACCTCCCTGTTACAAATGCAGGTTTTGGGGTCCTACTGTATAGATGACTGGGACCCTAAAATCTGGGTTTTTGTATTTTTTTTTTTTTTTTTTTTGAGACAGAGTCTCACTCTGTTGCCCTGGGTAGAGTGCAGTGTCATCATCCTAGCTCACTACAACCCCAAACGCCTGGGCTCAGGCGATCCTCCTGCCTCAGCCCCCTGAGTAGCTGGGACTACAGGCGTGTGCCACAATGCCTGGCTAATTTTTCTAGTTTTAGTATAGACAGGGTCTCTGGGTTTCACCCTTGTTCAGGCTGGTCTCAAACTTCTGAGCTCAAATGATTCTCCCGCCTTGGCCTACCAAGAGTGCTAGGATTATAGCTGTGAGTCACAATGCCTGGCCTAAAAAATGGTTTTTAATAGGCCCCTTGGGGACCTCTGAGCTCCAATTAGGACCATTATAACTGTAGTCCCCTTGGGGCAGGAGAGCAAAGACCCAGAGGCCTGGAGGGACTGGGGAGTCTTCAGAACAGTCCCCACTCTTCACTGTCTTAGGAGTATTTCCTTTCTGGGCTTTAATGCTCTGTGGCTGCAGCTTATCACTCCAAGGGGGTATGAGCTTCCTGGAAGGCAGGAACTTCCTCCCACCTTCCCTCCATTTCCCATCCTCATTTGCATTGCTTAGCCCAACAATTGTTTAGTGAGCACTTACTGTGTGCCAGGTGCTGTGCTAGGCTTTGCAGATATAGCAGGGAGCAAGACAGGTAGGGTGCCTAGAGCCAGAGAACACAGTGGGGAAGGAGACTAATTAGAATCTAGGATATTCTAATGTGTGGAAGGTCTCAGAGCTGTTCCCTTTTCCCCCAGCTGGAGGACTGTGCCCTACAAGTGTCTCCCTCTGGATACTACCTGGACCCCGAGCTATCCCTGGAAGAGCAGCGGGAGATGCTGGAAGGCTTCTATGAAGAAATAAGGTCAGAGATGATGGGGCCAAGGAGGCAAGGCTGGCTCCTACCCTTGCCCCCACCACAGGGGGCTGGCTTAGATGTCAGCAGCTGAGACACTCAATGTCTAGCGTGGGCCATGGGTCACCTTCTGGCCCAGCAAACTTTGCCGGGGGAATCTCAAAGCCTGGCCTGTGTTACCTGCTGCCCAGGATGGGAGTGAAGGGCCTTCCCTCACATACCTGAGATACCTGTGTTTGCACCAACTCTCCAACCCTCCTGTCTGGCCAACTCTTGGGCCCTTAGAGGAGCAGTGGGGAGGAAGGAACTAGGCCAAGGTTGGCATGTGGAGGGCTTTGGCTTTGGCTTTGGGGGAGGGATGCTGAGGAATGAGCTGTTGATTGGGCTCCTCAATTCCAGCAAAGGGCGGAAGCCCACGCTGATCCTGCGGACCCAGCTCTCTGTGAGGGTCAACGCCATCTTGGGTGAGTATGTGAGGGCATCAGTGTCCAGCAGCCTCCCTCTCCCTATCCCCCAGCCCAGTTGGCCCATGTTCTTTCAGGCTTGTGCCCAATAGTGGGCAGAGCAGATCAGAGACTGGATGTGCCCCTTCCCCTCCCTGTCCTGACCTCTCCTTCCAGGGCCAGGGCTGATGCCACAGCTAGACCACAATAGGGGGTGCCCAAAGTCAGGTATTGAGAATACTAGAATATTGTTTGGTAGAGGGCTGTGGCTCTGTCCTAGTAGAGGAAGAAAGTGTGTCTGTGTCTCCTTGAGAGTTTCATACCATCTATTCCTTGCAGAAAAGTTGTATGGCTCCAGTGGCCCTGAGCTCCGCCGCTCCCTCTTCTCATTGAAGCAGATCTTCCAGGTGAGAACCAGAGTTGGGCTGGGGGTGGGTATCCAACCCACACCTCCCTAAACTCCTCCATGGTACCCCCAGGAGGACAAAGACCTGGTGCCTGAATTTGTACACTCAGAGGGGCTGAGTTGCCTGATCCGTGTGGGTGCTGCTGCCGACCACAACTACCAGAGCTACATCCTTCGAGGTCAGGCCCAGCCCTCCCCATGACCTCTGCCCCAGTGATCCTCACTGACTTCTTCTCATCCCTGTCTTCCCAGCACTGGGCCAGCTGATGCTTTTTGTGGATGGAATGCTGGGGGTGGTGGCCCATAGTGAGACCGTGCAGTGGCTGTACACACTATGTGCCAGCCTGGTAAGTGGCCTTCCACATAGCCATGCATGCTTTTCCCATTGCTTTTTTCTGGGCCTCAATCTCCTCTTCTGCAAAGTGGACTGGAATGGAGTGAGTCTGAGGCCCCTCTAAACATGCAAGACACTTGAGTGCCTCAATCTGGAGCCAGGGTCTTTCTGCCTATACCCTATCTATTCTCTGAGTCGAGCCCCAGGAACCCTTCTCTGCCACAGTAGGAGCTGGCACAGGTCTGGCTCAAGCCCCTCTCATATGTGGTAACCTCTCCCTCCAGTCCCGCTTGGTGGTGAAGACGGCCCTGAAGCTGCTGCTGGTGTTTGTGGAATACTCTGAGAACAATGCACCGCTGTTCATCCGTGCAGTCAACTCTGTGGCCAGCACCACTGGTCAGAGACTGTCCCTTCCTCTCCTACCCTTGCAAGCTCTCTCTCCTACCTGTCCCCCCATGAATGCTACACTTTCTATGTGACAGGTGCTCTTCCCTGGGCCAATCTGGTATCCATCCTGGAGGAGAAGAATGGTGCTGACCCAGAGCTGTTGGTGTATGCTGTCACCCTCATAAACAAGGTGTGGGAGAGGACCAGGTGCCAACTCTGGGGCCCTTGGACTCTTGACCTCTGGTTCTCATCAGCCTCAGACTCGCTTTCCTATCCCCACCCTCCAGACGCTGGCAGCACTCCCGGACCAGGACTCCTTCTACGACGTGACCGATGCACTGGAGCAGCAGGGCATGGAGGCACTGGTCCAGCGCCACTTGGGCACTGCAGGCACTGATGTAGACCTGCGCACGCAGCTTGTGCTCTACGAGGTGGGCCTGTCACCAGGCTCTGAGTGGGACTGGGGTGAGGAGAGAGAGAGGTGCAGTTCCCCAGCAATGTGGGCCTTGACTACTTGCTCAGGTCCTGGCCCACCTCTTTTAGAACACCTTGAAGTTGGAGGATGGAGACATCGAGGAGACTGCAGCCATGGGTGGGCGGCGGGAGCGGCGAAAGCCTTCTTCGGAGGAGGGCAAAAGGAGCCGCAGATCTCTTGAAGGCGGGGGCTGTCCGGTGCGTACCCCGGAACCTAGGTAAGTCAGAGCCTCAGTGGATGGCGTGGGATGGATCTGCCAGGCCTGACTCTGTCTGCATGCAGGCCCCGCAGGCCCAGCTCTACCTCCTTCTCCATTGGCCCTGCCCCCTGCTGACAGACCCCACCTCTAGCCCCACAGGCCCCACCTCTCCCACCAGCCCGACCCAGCTGACAGGCCCCACCACCAGCCCTGTGTGCCCTCCGTCTGGCCTCAGCACTTCAGTGAACCTCTTTCCTACCATCTCTGTGGCATCCTCAGCTGACAGCTCCAGTGAGAGGAGCATCTACAAGTAAGTAGGGAGATAGAGGCCACTCTGGGAGTCCTTTCTCCAACTGTCCCTCCACTTTGCACCCCTCCACAGGCCTTTAGCCTCCTCTGCCCAAACGCGTGCTTTCTCTCTCTCTCTCTTTCCAGACTTCACCAAACTGCTCCCGTTTGGTAAGTGACTGCTGAGACATGGGGTCGGCTCTTACTGGACCTCCTCCTCCTATGGCTTATCTTTATCTCCTTCTGACATTCTGCTCACCTTTGCCTCTTGTCATCTGTCTCTCTACCCCCATCCTTCTGTTTCTGTCACTCTTGTTCTGCTCTTTGTCTTTTTTTTTTCAGCTGATGAAATGACCACAGAAGTCTTTGTCTTCTATGTTACCCTGTCCTGCTTCCTGTCTCTCCCCTGTTTCCCCTGTGTCATGTCTCCCCCACCCCCTCTTCTTCCCACCATGGCTGGGAAGGAACCCCTAATGTCACTGCCCAGCTCTGTGTGGGTATGAGCAAGTGGGCCTTGGGTTGGAACTGGCACCATAGTTACCATCTCTTCCTCTCATCCCCCTACCCAGGGCCCCTGAGAGCCCACCTGTCCCCCAGTCCCCTACTGGGCAGGCCAGGTTGGAGTAAGTACAGAGGCCAGCCTGCAGGCCTGCCATGTGCTTAGGGCTTCAGCACTGCTTCCCCTGGCAGGGGTTTGACATGCCTAGTACAGCCAGAGCTGGGGGATTCTCAGGCCCATCCTCTCATAAGAAGTCTCATAAGAAGACTTATGTCTTCTTGGTAACCCAAGGACTAAGCCCTGAGGAATGCTTCAGTGGGGTCATAGTAGTCCCTTGCTTTGATAGTGACACATTAACAGCTTAGACCAGAGATGGAGTTGGAGATGCCCAACCTGGGGCCTATTCTTCCATGTCCTCAGCTCAGGAATGGGGCAGGTAGGATCTAGGGTGCCATGTGGGGTAGGACAACCTAAGGCTGAGGGGAGGTCAGGGACTGACAGCCGACAGAGGCTGGAGGGGCCAGAAAAGAAACACTGGATCATATTCATTATTTCAACATAAACTGAGGGCCAGGCCCTTTTCTAGGCATAGGCTGTAGTTCTCAAAAGCTGCCAGACATGCCACGGGAGGGAAAGCTGAAGTGCTCATCGGGATAACTGTCCCTTTCCCCTGCTCTAAAGGTCCTTATCTAGAATCAGGACAGTGGACATGAACAGCAACAAGGTTACAAGTTGGATGTTAAGTAGAACTTCTCCTGGTATTTTCATCTGAGAATGCTGGGTTGGTAGTAACCCTCTCTAGATGTGGAGGACTGAACAGGGGCTGGCCTAGGGTGGGGGCAGGTTCTGGGCCTGCTCGGCGCATGGACTGTTCTGTGTGTGTCTGTGTGAGCCTGCAGTTTGGGGCAGTGTCCAGGGGCTCAGCAAGGCATGTGCACCTGGGCTGGGTTATGTCAGACACCATCACTGACAAGTACCCGCCCTCAGAGCCCGGTTCCTGGAGAATGTGGCAGCAGCAGAAACAGAGAAGCAGGCTGCACTGGCCCAGGGCCGGGCAGAGACACTGGCTGAGGCCATGCCCGATGAGGCCGATGGACACCCAGGTGAGTAGGTCAGTGGGCAGAATCCACCCCTGCTGCTCTATTGCCCCACCAAGGGCATAACACTGATAGCTTCTTCCCTTTTTCTAGACATCCGGGAACTGTGGGACTCCCCAGAGACAGCCCCTGCACCCAGAACACCCCAGAGCCCTGTCCCCCGAGTCCTGCTCCGGACCCAGCGAAGCCTTGAGCCAGAGCCCAAGGAGCCACTAACACCACCAAGCCCCAAGGCTGAGCCCATTCGGGAGATCCCTTCCCGTGTACCCAGGCTCTGCATTGGGGACCTGGACTTCTCAGATCTGGGGGAAGATGAAGACCAGGACATGCTGAACATGGAGTCTGTGGAAGCCGTGGAAGGGGTCCCACCCCCACCACACACACTGCCCCTGCTCTCTGGAGGGCCCCCACCTCCACCTCCCCCACCTCCCCCACCAATCAAGGGCCCCTTCCCACCACCTCCACCCCCGGCTGCCCCTCTTCCCCCCTCAGCAACTGACGGCCCAGCCCTCCCCACCAAGAGGAAGACAGTAAAACTCTTCTGGCGTGAACTGAAGCTGGCTGGGGGCTGTGGAGGCTCTGGAAGCCGCTTTGGGCCATGCCCCACCCTGTGGGCCTCACTGGAGCCTGTCTCAGTGGACACAGCCCGGCTGGAACACCTGTTTGAGTCCCGTGCCAAGGATGTGCTGCCCTCCAAGGTAAAATGCACTGATCTTCCCAGTAGCCCCAGTGGAGGTGGGAGGGAATCATAGCTCAAGGGTCTGAGCTGCTGGAGCTCGTCATTCATTTCCCATCTGGGGAAACTGAGGCAAAGAAAGGAATAGGGACTAGCACTCTGGGAGGCCGAGGCGGGCAGATTGCTTGAAGTCAGGAGTTTGAAACCAGCCTGAGTAAGAGCGAGACCCCCGTCTCTACTATAAATAGAAATTAATTGGCCAACTAATATATATAGAAAAAATTAGCCAGGCATGGTGGTGCATGCCTGTAGTCCCAGCTACTAGGGAGGCTGAGCAGCAGGATTGCTTGAGACAGGAGTTTGAGGTTGCTGTGAGCCTAGGTGATGCCATGGCACTCACTCTAGCCTGGGCAAAAAGTGAGACTCTGTCTCAAAAAAAAAAAAAAAAAAAAAAAGGAAAATAGGGGCTTGTCTGATATCTCTTAACAGAGGAATCAGCAGGGACTTAACTAGAATTAATTTCATCCCATGCCTTACACTCCCAAGATTCATGGGATCATTGGCCATTTAGCAGGACCTGGAGTGCCGTCATAGATTGTTGCCACCAGTGAAATCACACTGCCCTGTCCCCCCAACCTTGCAGAAAGCTGGTGAGGGCCGCCGGAGCAAGACACAGTGCTGACCCAGCGCAGCAATGCCATCAACATTGGCTTGACAACATTACCACCTGTGCATGTCATTAGGCTGCGCTGTCAACTTTTGATGAGTTTGCTGTCCAGCAAGATGGCTTGAGGTAGGATACCATCTATGTGTATAAGGAGGGAGGTGGGGGGGGGCTGCCCTCTCCTTTGGTCCAGTGCGTTTCCTGTCCGTTCCAGTGTTTGGCATGGGCTTGCAATTTCTGCAGAGCAGAGTCCCTAGAGTCCCTAGACCCTGGGGAAGGGTCTGTAAACCAATGCTGAGGCCTCGGCCTGCACTGAGGTCCCATGTGGGTGGTGGCTACATGCCTCAGAAGCTACTGACCATGGATGCCCACGGAGGAAGAGCGGCAGAAGATCGAGGAAGCCCAGCCTGGCCAACCCTGACATACCCTGGGCCAGCGAGAACTTCCTGATGACTTCCTGCCTCCATTGGGCCTGGCCGCCCGCCTACAATCCTGGGCCTTCAAGCTGGACTATGACCAGCATGGAGCGGGTACCTGGGTCATGGAGTGGAGAGGCAGTGGGGAACGGTGAGCATGATGACCAGGTAGGCTGAGAGTCCCTTGTCCCCCACACCAGGAAATTGCTGAGCCACTGTTTGACCTGAAAGTGGCATGGAAACAGGCTGGTACAGAATGCACCTTCCGCTGCATCCTGGCTACCCTGCTAGCTGTAGCAACTTCCTCAATGCTCCCAGGTGAAGTGAGGAGCTCATGAGGACTGGGATCAGGGCTCTGGAGCCAGCCAGGGCAAGGCTCAGATGAGGTCCTTTCAGAGCAATGGCTTTGAGCTGAGCTACCTGGAGAAGGTGTCAGAGGAAGGACACAGTCCGGTCGGCAGTCGCTGTTGCACCATCCCTGCACCCTCGTGCCTCAGACCGGCCTGATTCCTCCGACCTCTACTCAGAAATCCCTGCCTGACCCGCTGTCGCCAAGGTAAGCACGC